CATCCTTCCTATAATGCGGCGACCAGAACTGTACGCAATACTCCAAGTGCGGCCGCACCAGAGTTTTGTACAGCTGCAACATGAAATTCAGTCTGTGGAAGGTATGTTTTGGGTGATGGGTTTTTGCGTGTAAAAGTTTTATGCTAGCTTAAATACTGTGGTATGTAGGAGATTTAATTTAATGGCATTAATAATTGAGGGTAGTGATGAATTCTTCTAATTTTACTTCTGTGCAAGTCCAACTACTCAATATGTTAACACAAATCCGGAAGATAACATTAGTACGTAACTATCACCTAACAAATTAAACACACAGTCCTGGATTACGAACGGGTTCCGTTCTCAAATCTGTTTGTACCTAAGTCAGAACATAATGCAGGATGATACTAAATGTTTGAGGAAATATTCGCATGTCTGATCTTTAAAATTAAAATTAATATTAATATTGAATTCACTTGTAAGTATAAGCATTCGTAGGTCAGACATTCTTAAATCGGAGACTACATGTCATGAGAATAGAAATCCAAGGTCAGTCTTTGAGAGGAGATTTTGAAAAAATTTTTGTCCTGTTGTAATCTTCAACCAAATGTGCCATGATAGTAATATCATATCACTAATTTGTTTTATTCCAGATTCTAGAAGATGAATTGAAAGATGCAGTTATACTGGTATTTGCCAACAAACAGGACCTCCCAAATGCCTTCACCATCAGCGAAATAACAGATAAATTAGGTCTACAGAGCTTCCATAACAGAATTGTAAGTAATCTACTCTGATCTCAAGTTATGAATATTGACAGTGCAAAAATCATATGCATATAATTAAAATGGGTTAGTGTAAAAGTGTATATTTGTGATAAGCTCTTTAACATTAATGTTCCTCCAAAATGACGTCATATCATGAGAAACTTGCCTGTACAGTCCAGAAATTCTGAAATTTGATTCCCGACTAATGTTAAGTCACCTGTTGCTTGTAGATGGGAAGAATATGCAGTTTTAAATTTGCTGGGGTGAATGTTTATTGGGTGTGTATTCTTTCTTTAAAATATCTCTATGTAACCATCAACAGTTCATCATCTTACTAAAATCTCAGAATTGTACAGTTGACTTCCTAATTGATCAGTGGATGAATGTACTTTCTAGTTGGTACTACCTGGAGACTTGAGTACATCATGAAAATCTAGTTTGACCTCTGAATTGCGTCACACAAGTTGACTGGAGCCAGGCTGAGGGTGTGGATGCTGAATAATGACCTGAATTTGGAGACAAAAATTCACTCAGGACTCGATTCATTTAAACCCAGTCCAGTAGTCGTTAAAAATTTGTGTGGGTACTAGCCATGTCGTCCCATCACACAAACAATATTTGCTGTTTCTGTTCACACAAAAGATCATACATTTAGTTAAGTGTCGGAGAACTACCAGAGCTCCTGGAAATATACTATGGTGAAAATCATTGGCTCCAGGGATTGAGATGTTTGACCAGTCTTTTTAGAATCTAAAATGCCCATTGCCAAATATTTAATTTCTGTATTTCAGCATCAGTAATGTTTCTGTATAGAATGTAATACATTTTGGTTTTTATTAACTTTTCTAATTCTATATTTTTTAAACAGTGGCATGTTCAGGCTACATGTGCTACACAAGGGACTGGCTTGTATGAAGGCCTTGACTGGTTGTCAGCTGAACTGTCGAAATCCTAGACTTGATGCCACAATATGACGATGTTTTATTTAACCAAGGACACATTTTGGTAATATTGGTCTGGGCTTGTTAACTAGTTTTCATCTCCCAAATATTGTGGTTTCTGGAGTTGATATTTTGGCAGCCGGCGCAGCTTGATTTTTGAACCTCTTTGGATGTTTGTGGTAGGTTTCATAAATTGGTGGAAGATTAAACAAATAATTTACAATTATCTTTTGTGAGTGTATTTCTTCCAATTTATTTCCCAGTCGAAGCCAATATAGATCCTGACTTGTAAAATAACTGAAGAATTAAATTCAAATACATTTGAGCCCAAATAAACAACTTTTTTTAAAAAAAAAATTATGTTGCCCTTATTGATTTTTGATACCTTGGCTCATTCCAAAACAAACAATTGTTTAACGATTTTATCTCGTGTCTTTTCAGAGTTTTGTGATACCTCGGGTCATTCCAATACAGAATCTGCTGAAGAACTATTTCTATTTTTTTTAAATAAGGAATTGGTTCCTTTTTCTTTTAGTTCTTATTAAATATGGCTCCTAGCAAGGATCAGTAAGGAATGGATAAAGTACCAGATTCTAATGGAAAAAGCATCAATTGCACAGAAATTGCCTTTGTGGTCTGGCAGATGTCTGTGTCTCCTAAAGTAAATTTAAGTCTTGAATTGCAATTATTATGGCTCCCTCCTGAGAAATTCAGTCAATTCGAGTATATTGAAACCACTTCAGAAGACCTTCAATCTCTTGTGGTACTGTAGATCTCTGCAGTGGTTTGTACTCTGGCTGATTTTATGCAAGGCTATGTTCAAAATATTAGAAGGATGAAAGGTTTTTTTTTGGTAGATACCTATTCTTGGCAACCAGCCAGTTTCAGTGGACTACATCCATCCCCATTATATACATTTGACACTGTAAACTCCAAATTTTCCTTTCTTTATCTCAAAACAAGCAACAGATAGTGCAGCTCATTGCTATGTAAAATTTACACCACCACCGAAGGATGCAGTCCTTAAGTATGCATGCATTCATGTTGGCATTTCTATTCACATAGATATGGTCAGATTGTCTTTCTAGTATGTTGGAAGTTGTGACCTTTTTTAAATGTTGCATGTTGTTTTGCTATCAGTATGCTGTTATTCATTGTAATATAGTTATTGTTTATTTGTCTACGGATGGGCAAGTCTTCATGAAACTGGAAGATTTGGGAACATCAAAATTCTAATAATGAAAGGTGTCTACATAATCCATTTGACATTCTAATGAAATTAAATAAACTTTATAGAAATACTTTGCTTGTTATTTAATCAAACTTGTTTTAGGTTCTCCATAATTTGTGATCTTAAGAACATGAGAATAAAGTAAGCAGATGTATTGAGGGCAAATGTGAGGCAGGGTTAGGATGGACAACAATTTTTACAGGGATGCAAGTAACAGCTAATTTTAAAGTTATGGATTGTTTTATATGCAATACATTTAGTAGTCATTAACTAGCTAAACATGTCAATTTGAAAAATTATGTATCAACAACCTGTTGTAATGAAGTTCCATTGCTGGTTGAAAGGTCTATTTGCACTAACAAGCTTGTAGTTTCTAAATATAGATGTAGGCATTTATAATGGAAGTAGTAATAAATCTAAAATTGTATACGTGGGGTAATAAGCTCGAAACACCCTACATTCTTTACAACAAATTAAGTCATTTAAATAACATCAATCTCATAATGCAAGTGAGACTTGAAACCACAACCATTTGACTTGAGTAAGAATGCTATAACTGAGCTAAAATTTGCAGTTTGGCAAGACCGTGCGTAATCTTTCATAATGCACTGTCTAGTCTAGCTGTTCCTACTTCTTTTGAAAACTTCACTTGGATCTTGACTACTCCTGTGCAGCAGTATGGGTTATTAATACAGAATTTAAAATTTCATACATATTTTTGGGAAGACAGTCAGCTAAATTGGCTAGGTGGCTAATATGTGCTTAACAATAATGCCAACAGCACAGGTGTTGACCCTGCCCCTGAAAACGCAAGTTAATGGGAGCTTGTACTGAAACTGCAAAGAATAGTGCAGGGTGAAGCATCTGTAGACAATAAGCCAAGCGTCAACCTTTGGGTAGAACACTGCTGAAATAAAATGCATAAATATATCGTACAAGTGCTAATTTTTAATTGTTATGCTTTTACACTATTTAATTGTAGTTTTCACACTGCTTTTCTTTGCCAGTTTCTGCACTGAGTGGCTTCTCACCCAAAGGAGATTTTAATTTCCATCTCATCATGCCCTCCTGTTCTGTCATTCCTCATCCTCTATTTACACTCTCCAACAACAATTCATGATCTGAAATCTCTCACTCCTCCAAGTATCAATTGCCGATATGCTTATCTCCAATCACTATCACTTCTCACCCATTTTCTGCCGCACACTCAAATCAATAATTGACTTTTGGCCCTTCAACACACATCAGCCATGACCATCTTCAGTGTCTAAACAGGCTTCAAGGGCCAAATGGTTTACTTCTGGTTCTTAACTTTTTTTTTTGTTCAGATGATAAAATGAACATCACTTCCTACACTTAAGACACTTAATGGAAAAAAGTGCTCTGTAAGAAACAGTAAGATGAGGCCTGAGGGTATATCTACTTCTGCTGGATCTGTCCTGCCACCGGAACAGGATGTACCTAGGTTTGGAGGAGACTGGAATATTGGATGTAAGCTTTAAATTTAGTATACTCATTAGCAAAAAGAGGTCCCTGCAGGGTTGATTGGGTGAATCAGGTGATTTCTGGTTTTATTCTTCCTCCTTTCTATACCACTAACTTGTAACTGGACCATTTCAGTTAAGAGTCAATCATGTTTGTGTACATCGAGCAGCTGATTTTCCTCCCTCTTGAAAAACAGTAATAAATATTTAACAATAACCCACCAATGAAACTAGCATTTTATTCCAGATTTATTAATTACTAACACTTAAATTCCTAGTTTCTGTGGTGAGCATCCAGTGTCCAAATCTCTGAATGACTGATCATTACCACTGGAAAGCCACTTAACTCAGTTGGTGAGATAGCTAGCACACCGGTCAGAATAATGCCAGCAATACAAGTTTAATTTGCACTTCAATCGAAAATACAAGTGCAACGAACCACCACTTTCAACTGTAAAGATACTGCCTCACAATTAACTATGTCTAGGACCTGTCTCTCAGCAAAGCATGCAAAGATGTGTGATATTACCACTTAATATAATGATGTCCTTTGATGCTAAGGTGCTATATTTTTAAAAAAAAAATCAGTCACTTAGTCTATATTTTTCTTAAATTTATTTACAATTTTTCACAATTGAAAGTTGACTTTAATTGAGCTTTACATTTGCACTTTTCTAAATGCAGTATTACCCAAAGCCAGTTAAGCTAGCATTCATGATCTCTAGTTCAATGAAAATTTTAAAAATTTATTATTCAGACTCTTACACAAGGTGAAATTGGCAGTAAAATAAAACCATGATCTCTGATGTTATGCTGCCCTTTTGTTATTTTGGAAAATAGTGATATGTGGAAGGGGCCACTAATTCACCATTGCCAACATTCTTATCACGCTGCATCCTCCATTGTCCTCATTATATAGTGTCAGTGTATTTTCATAACTTTTAGGTGAAGTTTATCATTTTGACATATCCTTTTGAAGGTAAGGCTGGCTAATTGAAAGTCGAGGTACACAGTTTATTTTGAATTTTGCTCAAATAATCTTGACAGGTCAGGAATTTTAGCCTTTTGAACAATAATGGTTTAATTTATTTGCACTAAATAGTCAGTGATGTTCAAATCTTTAATCAGCAACATTTCCATGATCTGCCTCTTGGAATATCCAGTGGACATAATCTTAATACCCAGATGGTTGGCTGTGTATGTTCACCATATTGTACATAAAGAAAAATCCATATTTTCAGTATTAAATTATAATTTAATGTTCTGTTCGGAATCTATTGTTTCCTTAAGACTGCACACAATATTTCAGTGAAATGTGAACTTTTTGCATCAATTACAAATCCAGTAGTTGCTCCATTCTGGTTTTGGTTTTTAGTTTATAAATATCCATTTTGTTGATTGCATTGCATTAAGACTATAAAAACAAACACCAAACTACAGGAATAACAGGTTTGTTAGCTTCAGGCAGTTATTAACAAAGATCACAATCCAAAACATTACCAATCATTATTTTCTTTTATAGATACTGATAACTATTAATAAGGGCAGTCCATTGTTTGACATTGTACACATTCAAAATTGTTAACTTCCAGAAGTTACAGGAGGCCCACAACTTATTTGCACTTCAGATCACAGATCAGTGCAATATGATCTGATGGGTGGGAAACACTTGGCAGAGCCGAATGGCAGGTGATTTCCTCATGACTTGGAAAAGGAATAACCTGAAAAACTTCAAACACATTCATATCTACAAAAATATAGTCCAGACAACCCTGGAAACCACCCACATAATTTGTGTAAGCAGGTTCTCCACAAGCACTTCTTAATTTAAAGGAGTGCATAATTGACATGCTGCAACATTCTTCCTCACCGTTTGAAGTCCAGTCTGGGTGATCAGCAGAAATATGTCCCTTGGTGACAAACTCATACAAACCTGAGTTTGGGCTGCTGTTGAAGTCACCACAAAATATTACTGGTATATCAGGGTACATTTCTGCTGTAATGTGTTGAAGGTGACGAAAGGCAATTGCTATCTGGATAAGGCGAATATGGCCTCCTGGCAAAACAAAATTCAATATGAATGCATACACTTCGGTGTAGAAACTGATGAGACATGATATCCAACAAATCATATTGGCATAAAAACAAAAAAGATGATACAACTAGCAAATGGATCTGGCATATCTGCAGGGAGAGAAATAAAGCTAACATTTCAAGTTAAACCTGACTCTCAAAATTGATGCAAGGTAGAAATATGATTGGATTTGCAATTAGGAAGGATGGGAGATATTAAATGACAGTTATCTTGGAACAATGGCAAAGGTATTAGTAATAATTGTTGTAGAGGGGCGAAGTATTTGTCCAAGTTGAATATAAACGCTAGTACGATGAACAGTTCTACTAAAAAGCAAGAATGTCAAAACAAGATTCAAACACATGCCAAAAACAGCAAGAAAAATAGGACCAATGTTCATGACCTGAAATTGTTGAAATCAACACAGAGTTCAGAAGGCTGCCAAGTGACTGATGGAGTTTGCACTTTCTTGAGTTTGCATTGCACTTTACTTAACATTGCAGAAGATAGAAATGTCAGATGAGATGAGCAAGTTGGTGAATTAAAATGATAAGCAATCAAGACCTCAGGGGTTATGCATACAGATTCAGTGGTGTTCTACAAAAACAGTCACTATTTGTACTTGGTCTCCCCAGTATAGAATAGACCACATTGAGAAGCAAATACAGTAAATCAAATTGAAAGTAGTACATGTAAGTCACTGCTTTACTGGAAGCAACGTTTGAGGCTTTTGTAAGGTTCTGATGATGCGATCTTGTACAGTAGTGCTTCTAATATGTCTTTCTGCTGTTCAACTGAAGATTACCTTCTACTGTGGGTGACAAGACCCTTGATGTCCAAACTTCAGTAATGTCCGACCCATTTTCTGCATTTCTGCTCTCACCCCTCCAAAACCATGATAACTTTTCCCTTTCTCCACTTTCCACCTCAATGGCCTCCAGATTCAACGGATCATCCTCTCTCACTTCCACCATTTCCAGTATGATGCCACCATCAAATACATCATTACAATACTGATGGACTGGGAAAGTGAAGGGACTGTTCCCTCCATTGCAGTCTGTTCCACTCCTCAATCATCCCCAAAACATCACCCTTTCCCATGCAACTACTGGAGGTGTAATACTTTTACTTCCTCTGTTCTGACTGTCCATGATCTCAATACTCCTTCCAAGCAAAGGAATTATTGACTTGTATTTTTTCAAATTTGTATACTCATATTTATACACCCACACTCCTCTGTACTGGGAGACCAACACAGATTGGGCAACTGCTTTGAACAACACATCGTTCAATCCACAAGCTTGACCCTGAGCTTCCAGTCATTTTCATTCACCACCCCCTGCTCTCATACCCACATTTCTATCCAGCCTGGAAAGGAGTTGGGAATTCAGATCTGCCACTGAACAGCAGAGTAGACTCCATGGGCCGAGTAGCCTAACTTTCTGGACTCAACAATGAGTTCAACAATTTCAGACCTTAAATCCTGTCCCCCTTTTTGATTTTTTTTTGGCCATGTTCTGGTTTGAATCTTGTTTTTCATGATTTGCTTCAGACAGTGCCATTTGTGATACGAATCGTGTGATATATATCCCCATATACACATTTTTAATGCATTAACTGGATGTGGGCATCAATGATTGGGCATTTATTACCTGTGTGTGTGTGTATGTGAGTGAAGTTAATAATTAACTTGCAAGTACTCCTGCAGCCATGCACCTTCTTTTTGTTTCAGAGGTCTGACTTTAGAATTAATGGGTATTTGTATACATTGGCAGGGTTTTATGACGGACAAGATAAACAAGCTCCAGCGTAGAAGGTCATCTTAGGGGAAACATCCATAGTTAATACAGACTTTTTTAAAAAAAGTTCTACTTAAGTCTTGAACAGTCATGTGAAACAAATGAATCAAAATATAATCTAACAAGCCAGGTTTCAGTCTAGGATCTGACTTGTCCAGGAACAACATCAGGTCGGATCATAACTTACTCATTTTTATGGCATTTATACACTTTCTGAACAAACGTTTTGTCTCTTGACACAACCATTACCTTTGTCATTTAATCTCTCCCACCCTCCATCTCATAATTCTCCTTTTGTTCTTCCTTCCCCTTTCAACAGCAGTTAATCCATCATATTCCTGCCCTCATTCAGTTCTGAAGAGTCATATTCATCTCATAACATGTTTCTCTCTCCATAGATGCTACTGGATGTGTTGAGTATTTACAGCACTTTTGTTTAAATGTCAGATTTTCAGCATCCATGGTAATTTATTCTTAGATCATTGTGATCAGCAACAGATTCTTGATCCACAAATCCCAGTTTTGTTTTTCTTTTATTTCATGGACGTCCCATTAAGCCACTGCCTTGCCTTAACTTTAAAACAATTTTTCATAAGTCATTGCAATGTCCATCTACACACATAATATTTGAGAGTATAAGAACCAGTCCACCATCATGGCAGCATTAAAATGAAAGAGAACTGAGTCACCCAGGACACCGAGCAATACCAAAACTTCAACCTCCAGTGGAAAGCTAAGTTGAACTCTGGACTGGAATTTAAATGTGTGTGTTGTATTCCCTCCCCTCTAGTTTGGTCATTTAGTAAAATGTGGTGCACTTCTTACAAAGATGTCTAATATGTGGTCAATTTTGTTCTTTTCTTTCATTTTCATAATGTTTTTATTTAACAATAATTCCTTTCATAATGTCAGCAGGATTTCCATCCCCATTTTCAGTTGCAAACAATGTTATGGAATTGGCCTCTACAAGGAGAGCATCTGACCTTAACTGATGGCCTGAATTGCAGGAATTCTTAAATCACACATCTTAGGTATGCTCTATAGCAACAGTGCTGGGAAGGGAAAAGAACATCTGCCCCTATGTTGTTTAATAAAAATAACACTTCATACCATTAAGCAGTGGTTTCACTAGGATTCCCATAAAACACAACAGGGAATAGGCATTCTCATACAAACAGTTTGCACTAATGTACTATTTTTGATATTATTAAACATCCCAAGGATTTTCACAGATATATTATAAAATAACATTTTACACCAGACACACAAGTATGAGGACAGGTGAAGAAAGCCAGTATCTGTGTAGTGTCTTAAAAGGGAGGAGACAGAAAGAGGTAGAAGGGTTCAGGAAGGGAGTATGAGGGGTTGGGGCCTTAGCAGTTGAAAACATGACCACCAATAATGGAGCAATTAAATTGGGATTGCACTGGAAGAGACAAAACAGAGGAGTGCATTGTGTTATACGTCTGTAGGAAAGTACAGAGGATAGAAAGGGATAAGACCACAGAGAAATTTGAAAACAGGAATTACAAATTTAAGTAGAGATATGGCTTAACTAGCAACCAACACAGGACACGTCAGTGAGCACAGGAGTGATGATGAATAGACTTTTTGACACAGACCGATGAAAATATGTAAAACCACTCAAGAATTCTGATGAATGGACAATGTCTGAAATATCAGCATTCTCCTTCCTTTGCAGATACTGACCAACTTGGTGTTTCCAACTGTGATGATTATTTAATTTAAACTTTTAGTTTGAAAATTGAAATTTTTAGATGCAAAATAAATGAAAACATCCAGTTTGAGAAGATGGTCAACAAGCTTTAAAGTAATTGTAAAGCAAATATTGTTTTTTTCTATTAAAAAGGTCATAGTGGAAAATATTGAAAACTAAACAAACCTCTGAGCTTCTTGGTGGAGACAAGATGTTTACAGCTGTCTCACGAAAGAGTTAAATTATTAACATTGATTCCAAAAGCTCAAGAGGTCAGGCTTGAACATTTTAATTATTTAGTTTAAACTTCTATCTCGGACATCCCAGGTGCACCACATAGTTGTGGGGATAGATTGCAGGGAGGATTTTGCAATTAAACAAATTTCAATGGAGGACATTCATGCCAAACAGATGCAAGACCAATATCCACAATGGACAGAGGAGAAAAGAAAAGGAAGAGAATAGCACAGTAGGTAATCTTAAGAGATATAAAATTTACCTTTTGGATGCCAGTAAAGATGAGTATTACCAATACACAACTTCTTTGATGAATCTTTAAGAGACTCAAGTACACAAACCTAAATAAAAATAAGTATTTAGGATCATTAATGTACAGGAAACACTGAATTAATCAACAAGTTCCCGAGATATTTCAATAATTCCGCAAGCTAGTCAATGAGATCATGACTGAACAGTAAGTTAAATTCACATATCCACCTTTTCCCCACATCCCTTAGTACTTTTCATTTTAAGTCAAATCAATCTCAGATTTAAAATTAATGATTAATTTAGTATCCATTGATGTTTGCAAAAGAGTTCCAAACGTTTTGCCAATATTTCATAGCTCACACCTGTAAAGGTGTGTGACATTAGACTTTGGCCTCTGTACTGGTTTCTCAACTAGTGGAAGTAATCTCTCTCTAAACACCATAACAATTTTTAAAAATTAGTTTGTGGTATGTGGGTGCAACTGGCTGGACCAGCATTTCTTATCCATCTCAAGTTGCCATTGATCAGGTGATCATGATCTGTCGTCTTGAATAGGTACAGTACGTTTTGTGTAGGTACACTGATAGCATTAGGGAGGGAGTTCCAGGATTTTAACCAAGTAACTGAAAGAAAGGCTATATACTTCCAAGCTAGGATGGTGATTGTTCCCATTAATATATTGTACATGTTGATAAAAATCACCTTATAAATTTCTAAATTGCAATTAATATAACCCTCGTTTGTGTAATGTCTCCTAGTAATTTAATTCCTGGTATAATCCTGGCTAATCTATACTCCCCCTTATCCAAGGTCAAAACACATGTTTTAATAGATCTGGTGTTCAGAACTGCTCACTGCATTCCACATGTGGTCTAACCAGGGCTTTGTATAGCTGCAGCATGACTTTGTATTTCAGTCCCCAGTATATAACGACCAGTATTTTATGACAATAAACCCAAAATTGTGTTGTTGTAGTTATATAGAGCCTTGGTGAGGCCACACCTAGAATAGTGTGTGCAGTTTTGGTCTCCTTTTCTGAGGAAGGATGCTCTTGCTCTCGACGGAGGTTTAGCAGGCTGATTTCGGGGATGGCGGGTCTGACAAATGAGGAGAGATTGACTAGGTAGGGATTGTTTTAGCTAGAGTTCAGACAAATTTTGCAGGGTGGGGGGGGCGGAATCTCATGGACTTATAAAACTCTAACAGGACTGGACAGAGTAGATGCATGGAGGATGTTCCCGATGGTGGGCATGTCCAGAACCAGGGGTCACAGTATGAAGTTTCAGGGTGGACCATTTAGGATGGAGATGAGGAGACATTTCTTCACTCAAAGGGTGGTGAGCCTGTGGAATTTATTACCACAGGAAGTAGTTGATGCCAAAAAATTGAATGTATTCAAGAGGCGACTAGGTATAGCACTTGGGGCGAATGGGATCAAAGGTTATGAGGGGAAAGCAGGATTAAGGCTATTGAGTTGGACAATCAGCCATGATTGTGAAGAATGGTGGAGCAGGCTTGAAGGGCCGAATGGTCTCCTCTTGCTCCTGTCTTGTATGTTTCTATGCTTATATTAGCATGTAGGTACAACATGGAAGGTGATGGCCTGGGAGTTTTAATCGCTTGACGGTTAATTCAGACACCCAGATATGTTCTGGGGACCAGGTTCGAATCCCACCATGGCAGATGGTGGAATTTGAATTCAATAAACATCTGCAATTAAGAATCTAATGATGACTATAAATCCATTGTCGATTGTTGGGGAAACCCACATGGTTCACTAATGTCCTTTAGGGAAAGAAACTGCCATACTTACCTGATCTGGCCTACATGTGACTCCCAACCCACAACAATGTGGTTGACTCTTAACTGTCCTCTGGGCAATTAGGGATGGGCAATAAATGCTGCCTAGTCAGCAATACCCTCATCCCGTGAATGAATAAAGAAAAAGCAAGTAGGATGGCAAATATCATTTTAGCTTTTACTATAAGGTAAGGAAGTCCTGCCACAATTGTACATGTTGAGAACCGAACTGAAACTCTGTGCAGTTTTAGTCTCCTGATGCAAGAAAGGAAACACTTTAAATGGAGGCAGCGCAGTTCACTAGATGGGACTCCTAGAATTATTAGGTAATCCTATTCATAGGGAGATTAGATTGTGCTGAAACTGTTTGGAAATAAGAAGGAAAGGTGATCTCATTGCAGTGTATAAAATTCTGAGGAGGTTTGACAAGGTAAATACCTAAAAGGTTGTTTCCCCTCAATAGAGAATCTGAAACTGAGGGGCACAGCCTCAGGATAAAGGATCCACCATTTAGTACTCAGATTGAGAAGGTCCTTCTTTGCTCAGCCATTGTGAATCTTTGGCATTCTCCACCCTAAAGGCCAGTGGATATTCAGTTGTTGAGTGTGCCAGGTTAAAAATATACAAAACGAAAAACACATGAATTTCAAATTGGCAGTGTGTTCAACAGCTCTAAATATTTCATCATATGTTGGGCTGTAGAATTGTAAAGTAAATTGCTTGCTAATGGTCAGCAGCTGAGTAAAAGCAGAACTCAAGTTAACAAATGCATGGGGTGCAGAGGGAACTATGTTGCTTCATTTTGTCCAAACATATAGAAAATTGATAATATTATATATCCTTAACCCACCCAAGCCGTTTGTTAACAACATGATGGAGAATAGGAGAACTGCTGTAAAAAATGTTATATTGAGTATCAGGTATTTCAAATCCACTAAGCCTGGATACACACAAAAAAAAAAGGAATTGTGTTAAGATTTGCATGGGTTGGCATTCTAAAGTGGTTGAAGGATTTTGAAACTGAATTGAAATTGAAAGGGATTAGAGAGCTTGAGAATTTTTAAGTTCACATATGATGTTATTTTAATGTTATTGACTGAAGTGATCTGTGAGTAAAGAACTTGAAATAACAAACCAAATTAAGGAGCACAAGTCAGAGTCTATTATTAAGACAGCATGCATAATAGAATACAGTGAATTTTAGAACAAGTTGTGGAAATAGATAAACTCGAAGAGAATACGAATATAGACAATTTGAGCAACGATCACACCCAAAGGTTAAGATATGAGTGACAAAATAATTATAAGATAAGCAAGATCATGTCCTCTAAAAGCATAAAATTTCAAGGAATTTTATGACTCACTTAAGCTGTAAGTAACAGTTATAACTCTAAAATGATTGAATTTCATCAACAGTAATACGATTTAATGCTGTTAATGACTTGTTTAATGTTTAGGTTTACACCAATGAAATGACAGGATAATTCACATTCTATTTAGCAAAGAGAAATAGTATGAAAATTTTTGGAAGTAGAATGATAGGAGGAGAATAAAATCTTTTGCATCATCTCCAATCTTAAAAAAAGGTGAGATGGCTTGGAATCAGTCATCGAACTGGTAATTTGAATATATTAAGGATGACGGTACATGAGGAAACCAAACTTCCTTTTTAAACCAACTCAAAGCATGCAAATAGAAGACATGTTGGGAAGTTAAAGTTGTAATTGCAGCTGCAGCACTGAGAGACAGTGTTTATTTTAACCTTACAAGGTCAAAATAGACAGATGGTACTCCCAAGCTTGTCAAGTTTATAAATGGATTATAGTACGGTGATTGGCTAAATGTAACATAAATGTAATCAGAACTGATCTTATAGACTTTATAACAAATGTGTAGAAATTAGCATACTTTCTGACCTTTTGTATTAATGTATAAGATTCTAAGATTCCACATAGTACAATCAAACCAGGGAAAAATAAACAGTCATAAGGAGTGTCTGATTTGATAGGAACTTTTCTAATTAAGCTAGGATTGAGATTGCTCAAAGACATCAATCCAGAGTCCAGATTACGTTGGCCTCCCTTTTCTCTTTAATGAAGCAAAGAATATTTGTCTGAGTAATGTCACAATGACAATCTCAATGAAGAGGATGGACCCATTGATAACTGACAAGGAGCCTGTCAGTAGACAGTGGAGTGAGGGCGTGACTTTGGTCAATGTCCATCACCTTTAAATCATGTTTAGCTCAGGCCAATCAGAATGAAATTGGTCATGTTGTAGGTGTTGCTTGGAAAGAGTTAACTAACAGTTTTCAGTGACCAAGATGCATCTAGTGAGAAACTTTAAAGTCATCCCACTTCCAGCTGGGAAAGGATGGTGTTTTGAGGTATTAGACACTTTATTTGGCCTACTTTTGAGCATAGGAGTTGGGATGTTGCGTTGAAGTTGTACAGGATGTTGGTGAGGCCTCTTCTGGAGCACTGTGTCCAGTTCTGGTCACCCTGTTATAGAAGGATATCATTAAGATGGAGACGGTTCAGAAGAAATTTACCAGGATTTTGTGGAAATGGAAGGTTGTGTTACATGGGGAGGCTGTATAGGCTGGGACTTTTTTCACTGTAGTGTAGGAAGTTGAGAGATGACCTTATAAAGTAATGAGAGGTATAGATAAGGTGAATGGAAGATGTCTTTCCCTTAGGATGGGGATTTCAAAACTGGGGTCATATTTTTAAGGTGAGAGGAGAAAGATTTTAAAAAAGTTTGAGGGGCAATTTTTTTTTTACAAAATGGTTCACATGTGGAATGAACTTCCAGAGGAAGTGGTGGGTACAGTTACAATGTTTAAAAGACATTTGGAAATGTACACGAATCAGAAATGTTTGGAGGGACCTGGGCCAAGCACAGGCAGGTGGCACTAGTTCAATTTGGGATTATGGTTGGCATGGACTTTAGTTGGACTGGAGAGTCTGTTTCTGTGCTGTATGACAACAACTCAACTTGGGCATTTGCCAAGGGACAACAGAAAGAACTGAAAGGGAAAATAATGTAAGTTTGTAGGTAACGGCAAAGCACATACTGCAGCTAGGAGATGCATATGGTGATACAATCACATTAGTTCAAATATGATTGGATAATATAATCATGTGTACTACTTGGAATGCAAGTTATGCAAATATGGTTGGTCAAAGTTTAATTAGAAGGAAATACTTTTAGATATAGATAAGAAGCCTCTATTCAGCTATAAGAGTAGCGTAAAACCTTTGCTCATGATGATGATTTGAGTTATCTGCCAATTTTTTTTAATGTGTACTTCTCCCATGCATGCATGAATAAACTTATAAGGAAGAAACCCAAGTCTTGTCTGGTCTTAAAGGAAAGAAATAGTAGAATTCACCAGTAACACTACATTGAAATCCACTTTCCATAGTGCACATGGACAGATATCAGCAAATTCATCTGTCTTCCTCCTTGATCATTTAAGTCATTAGTAAATATGGTAAATAGTGGAGGCTCCAATACAGAGCCTCATAGGTCACCACTAGTGGTACACAGCCTGCGAGAACTACCCAGTCTCTTGCTGCAGCCAATTTCTTATCAAATTTAATAATTTGTCTTCAATGAGGGAGTCCTAGCATATGGCTTCCAGAAAGTCACAGAAATAACATCTATACTTGGTTACTTTAAAAAAATGCATTGAGGTTTGTCAGGCAGGACAACATTTACAAACTCTCTGATCAGTGGACCGTTTTTAAGATGTTTAATCACTCCATTCCCTGTTATAAACCCAGATACTAATGTTGCTGGGAACACATGTTGCTTAGGATTTCGGCTGTTTCAGCAGTAGTTTGATGCTCCAACATTCTGAAGATCTAAGATATATTGCATAAAATATTCTTTAAAGTTCCTAAGTGGATCTTCGTTAGTTTGTTGTAATAATATTCATTATAATGCATTTTAATGATCAGAGATATTATACTGCAGTTGTTACTTTTTTATTCTATTTATTAATACTAAATTTCCACTCTAAAACAGTACCTGGAGTGTGGTTGATCTTTGCAAAACCTTTTCTTTGACTTTGGGATTCGTAGAAATCTTCTCCAAAATCTCGGCGTGTAAAGGGTCCGAAACCAAAGCCTCGCTTAAGGTCACATCATGTTGACTTAACAGCCGGTACTTGGAGGCTCTGAAGAAAACCGAGAGGCCTTCGTGCTGCTTCTCCTTGATCCGAAACGCTCCCTGAAAGCCGAAAGCATTAAGGGCCGGGTTCAAGCTGTTGGTAAACACGCTCTTATCCACCTCCTGGAGACAGATGATGTCGGCATTGTAGCCGCTGAGCTCTTTCTTGACAAGGTTCTGCCTGTAATCGAGCTCGAGTGCATAGGGCGGACAGTAAGGATACAGGGTATTTCTGGAGAGCTCCGTCTGAGCGTACACGTCGGCTAGGATGTTGTAAGAAACCACCCGGACCAGCGGTTCCTCCAGGGCCCGGCGGGTGAGCCACTGGCGGCTGTCAAAGGTACAAGCCCCGGGACCGGCCTCCACCACGCCAGCACTTTCCAGCTCCACCGGTGCCCCGAAGCGCCGCTCATCGCCCGGTTGACATCTCAGCTTCAGCTTCAGGCCGATGTGGCTGTTGCTGGGGGTGAAGATCCGGCCGTTAGCCGCTGGTTCCCAGCTCCCAGTCGCCTCCTTCAGCCACCACTCGAACAAGGAGTGCGAGGCCTCCCCAAACTCCACCTCCACCTTGGGGCAAACCGGGAAGCCGGCCAAGATGGAGGTGGGTAACCGGAGCTGGGTCAGAGTGGGTGGGTTTCTCTCCACTCGGTACCTGGACTCGCCCACCTGTAAGATAGCTCCATCCTGCCAGGCCTCGGCATTCCTTGTGTCCCCGGGAACCGGTTGCTCTCCCTGGTACAGGATCACTGGCAGAGCCGAGGCCTGTAGCGGGGCCGAGGCCGCCTCCTTACGGCCTTTCCGGGGCTTCTTGGCCTGAGCTTTGACCAGGTTGTGGGCGATGCGGCCGAGCGCCGTCTGCAGGCTCTCGCTCTGCTCCCGCTGCAGATGCCGCTGGCTTCCGCCCTCGGGCCCGAGCCGCAGCGAGATGGTCAACTTGGTCTCGGTGGGGACACAACGGACAATTGCGGTCTGCATGGCCCCCCAGCCCGAGCTCCGGCTCGAGGAAAAGCGGGCAGCCAGTCGCTGTAAAGCGGCTGAGGGCAGAGAGCGGACGGTGACGCCGACCAGGCCGCACATGGGGCCCGTCCGCCCGGTTCAGGCGCACATCCCTCACCGCTGATCCCCAACAGGAAAGATATCGGCTCCCGATTAGAAATACATTAAAATAGTAAATCCATCCTATGGAGGGGAACTTATAAAACTGTGTGCGCAGCGCGGGCAGGCGGTTTATTGTTTAATTTATTTTAAAATGATTCAGGAACTAGAAGGTCTTGTGTCTGTACATTCAGATGCCTCATCACTCAGTCTGTGTACTAAGCCGACTGTGGGGGTCACTCCGCCACACATGGAGATGAAGATTAAAACAATTATTTCAGACTTCGATGAAGCACAAGAAAGATAGGGGGATGGCTGGTGTTTTAGTAAAACCTAGTCACTGTAAACCAAATGTATGCTGAATTAGTGCTATAGGGAGAATACTGTGAATTGTACAAAGACGAAATGGTGCAGTAGTATGAATGCACATCTCCAACCCAGAGTGAAGTGTGAGGCTGTCATGAAGATGCTGGAGCAGTTTGTTTTTAATTGCAAATTGATGTCCCAGTATTTAAACACAATAGTGGCCAAAAGGGACAGCATACATCCTTTTGCTGACTGGAGAGAAAGATGTGCGAGAGCTGTGATGACCACAACTGAAACTGGCCTTTATTTCGAAGTGAATGGAGAAAAATAGGGAAGTCTTCCTAAAAGTATCCAAGGCAGTAGTTAGTCCACAGCTGAAGTACTGCAAACAGTTTAGCTTCCTCGTATCTAAGGAAAGAAACACTGACCTTGGAAGCAATCCAGAGAAGGTTTCCTAGGTCTGGTTTTTTTTTTAAGAGAGAGGTTGAGTAGGTTAGGCTTGTATTCCCTAGAATATAAAAGAATGAGGGGCAAATTTACTGAAACATGTAAAATTTTTCTGGACTGAGCAGCCCCCAAAGGCCTGTTAGGTTTCTCCCCACAGTCCCTATCCAGAATCCTGCCAGTTCAGTGTATATGAGCAGTGCAGACTTTGCACATGATGTAATGACGTAATGGGTCTGGAGTCATGTGCATGCACAGTTCCAATGTCAGCAAACTCTACCTATTATGTTAGCTTTACAAAAATGAACACTGCAGCAGAGTTCTTGCTGAGAATAAGTATCAGAAAATTTGTTCACTAAAACAACTAAAGAAACTACAATGCTTATCACAGACATCAATGTAGTCTGAACTCAAGCATTTAAGAAGCTGTTTGACTGTCTAATCTTCCTGATGAATACTGATGTACAGTGGCAGCTATTGAAGTTGGGACAGATACCTTTTATATGAGAATCTGCGAAAACATAACACCATAATATCACATGGGAGGATATTACACAACTCTTTTTTAAAGGGAATGTGCTTGCCTGATCCTCATTACGTGTAAATAGTATAAACATGAACCATACACATAACATGAATTGTCCCAGGGAATTTCCTGGAGAAAAGAAATTCACAACCATTCAGATCAAGAAGTTGAGAAATAAGGCTGCAACCACAAATCAGAAGCTGAAATCTGATACTCACTCAGACTAACCTAGAAGATCTTTACTGAAATTTTGGAAGAGTTATCCAAAGAACGATGCCCTGAAACCAAACAACCTCATGTTGATGGTGAGATAGTAAGAACTTCCAATGCTGGAGTCAGAGATAATACTGTGGATCTGGAGGAAAACAGCAGGTCAGGCAGCATCAGAGAAGCAGCAAAGCTGACATTTCAGGTCAGGACCCTTCTTCAGAAATGGGGGAAGGGGTGGGAGCTCTGAAATAAATAGAGAGAGGAGGGGTGGGGCTGGGGAAGGTAGGTGGGATGGTGTTAGGTGAGTGCAGATGGGGTGCACAATCTAAAAATTAAGGCCACACTATTCAGGAGAGATGTTAGGAGGCACTTCAGCACACAGAGTGGTAGATGTTTGGAACCCTCTTCCACAAACAGCAGTTGATGCTAGATCAGTTGTTAATTTTAAATTTGAGATAGATAAATTTTTGATCAGCAAAGATATTAAAGGATTATGGGCCAAAGACAGGTATATAGAGTTAGGTCACTATCAGCCATGATTTCACTGAATGGTGGAACAGATTTAAGGGGCTGAATAGCCTACTCCTGTTCCTATTTCCAATGAAATTCAACAAGTAAGATGACTTGTGTCAGAATGACAGATACACAAAGAAAACGGCATTACCAATATGTTCTGTCACTGCAAATGATTTTGCAGATTGAGCTGCTGTGAAGAAGAGCTGCAGCTCATTCTGAATAAACCATGATAAGGACTGGAAGTACAAGATCCTCCAAACGTAAGCAAAGAAACATTGTGTCTAAATGTATCCAGAGTGTTTGACAAGAAGGTTGTATGCTTTGAAGGCTGAGAAGAAACCAGTGATTCATCCCTCATAAAGTTACAATAGAATTAAATGTAAATTTTGAAAGAGAGCTCCATGAGATGGAAAAGAATTCCTGTAGCCATAGAGCCCATCATCGGTTAGACCCCTTCATTGTGAGGGAAAAGTCAATGGTAGCCATAAATTTGTCTGGATCCCAAAGATTTTTAGGTAATGATGCTTCTTATTACTTATTTTAATACGATAAGAAATTGAAGTGAAAATTGAAAGTCACCGTAACCTCAGAACTAGTCCTGTGAACTGAAGCCTTTCACATGGGTAGGACAGTAGTTGTGCAGTATCATTGTTTATAAGCTTCCCAGCCCCTCAGCTGAATTGATTAATGACTCCCCAGTGCTCTTTCATCTTGTTAACCTGGCGTGTTTCATGCAGCTTGGGAACATTGCCTGTTAGAGCCATAATTCGGGGTTGAGTTCAATTAATTAGCTATTTAAATATTGAAGAAATTGACCCATAATCTCTTCAAAGAGTTTCCCACTTCCTTTGGAACATGCCCTGGTGAAAGTGGGAATTGGATGAGATCCCACCAGGTTTCCAACATGTCAAGATTTTTCAGGAACTGAAATATAAATATATATTCTTCCATCACTTTAGTTCTGTCTGATCTGCATTTGCATGTTTATTAAAGTTTTTGTGATAAAATGGGGTTCCATAATTTTATTACTTCTGTTCAGTATTTACTTATTGTAGGGTAATTTCAAAGATTTATAGAGGAGTAACAAAAACGAACAACATAAAACTGGAAAATTGTTCTTAAAGACTTTAAACATCAAAATTAATGACGTGGAAACACAAACATTGTGAAATACTTACTGCACCAGTTAGAGAATTACAGTTTAAAGCAGTTTCAAGAAGGTAGGCAAAGAACACTTCAGAGATTTTATTTTTCATGTTTACTTTATCTATTTTTAAAAATAATTAAGTGATTATACAAAGCAAAGCAGTTACAGAACAAATCAATAAATTAAAGTTGTACCACCATTTTTGAAACAAAGTAATTTATTTATAAGGAAATAATGCATCGACAAGAACTTAATAAGTATTCTGTTTGAATGTTAATTTGAACAAATTACAGATCAGAGGATGAAGTAGCCAGTGTTCAGACAGATAGAGCAAGCAGAGAATCTGTGAGGAAGGATAAGCAGTTGATGGGGCAAAGTGGCAGTCAGTGCGACAGGTTAAGGTGTGTCTACTTCAATGCAAGAAGTGTCAGGAATAAAGGTGATGAGCTTAGAGCATGGATCAGTAGTTGGAACTACGCTGTTGTGGCCATAACGGAGACTTGGATAACACAGGGGCTGGAATGGTTGTTGGATGTTCCAGGGTATAGATGTTTCAAAAGAAATAGAGAGGGAGGTAAAAGAGGTGGGGGAGTGGCATTGCTAATCAGGGATGGTATCACAGCTGCAGAAAAGGAGATCGTGGAGGAGGGTTTCTCTACTGAGTCAGTATGGGTGGAAGTAAGAAACAGGAAAGGAGCAGTCACTTTTTTGGGAGTTTTCTATGGAGTCCCCCCAAAAGCAACAGAGACACTGGAGAACAGATTGGGAGACAGATTTTAGAAAGGTGCAAAAGTAATAGGGTTGTTGTCATGGGTGACTTCAACTTCCCTAATATAGACTAGAACCTCCTAAGTGCAAATAGTTTGGATGGAGCAGATTTTGTCAGGTGTGTCCAGGAAGGATTTCTGACTCAATATGTAGATAGGCCGACTAGAGGGGAGGCCATATTGGATTTGGTGCTTGGCAACGAACCAGGCAAGGTGTCAGATCTCTCGGTGGGAGAACATTTTGGTGATAGTGATCACAACTCCCTGACCTTTACTATAGTCATGGCCAGGGATAGGAGCAGACGGTATGGGAAAGTATTTAATTGGGGGAGGGGGAATTACAATGCTATTAGGCAAGAACTACGGAGCACCAATTGGGATCAGATGTTCTCAGGGAAACGCACGACAGAAATGTGGAGGTTGTTTAGGGAGCAGTTGCTACAAGTACTGAATAGATTTGTCCCACTGAGGCAAGGAAAGGATGGTAAGGTGAAGGAACCTTGGATGTCAAGACATGTGGAACACCTGGTCAAGAGGAAGAAGGAAGTTTACTTAAGGTTGAGGAAGCAAGGATCGGCCAAGGCTCTAGAGGTCTACAAGGTAGCCAGGAAGGAACTGAAGAGTGGATTTAGGAGAGCTAGGAGGGGTATGAGAAAACCTTGGCAGGTAGGATCAAGGAAAACCCCAAGGCTTTCTATACTAACGTGAGGAACAAGAGGATAGCCAGAGTAAGGGTAGGGCCAATCAGGGATAGTGGAGGGAACTTGTCAGAGGAGGTAGGAGAGGTCCTTAATGAATACTTTGCTTCAGTATTCACCAGTGAGAGGGACCTTGATGTTTGTGAGGACAGCATGAAACAGGTAGATATGCTCGAACAGGTTGATGTTAGGAAGGAGGATGTGCTAAAAATTTTGAAAAACATGAGGATAGATAAGTCCCCTGGGCCAGACGGGATATACCCAAGGTTACTATGGGAAGTGAGGGAAAAGATTGCTGCCCCTTTGGCAATGATCTTTGCGTCCTCACTGTCCACTGGAGTAGTACTAGAAGATTGGAGGGTGGCAAATGTCATCCCTATGTTCAAGAAAGGGAATAGGGATAATCCTGGAAATTACAGACCAGTCAGTCTTACTTCTGTGATGGGCAAATTATTGGATAGGATTCTGAGAGATAGTATTTATGATTATTTGGAAAAGCACAGTTTGATTAGCAATAGTCAGCATGGCTTTGTGAGGGGCAGGTCATGCCTCATAAGCCTTATTGAATTCTTTGAGGATGTGACAAAACACATTGATGAAGGTAGAGCAATGGATGTGGTGCATATGGATTTTAGCAAGGCATTTTATAATGTTTCCCATGGTAGGCTCATTCAGAAAGTGAGGAGGCATGGGATTCAGGGAAATTTGGCTGTCTGGATACAAAACTGGCTGTCCAATAGAAGACAGAGGGTGGTAGTAGATGGAAAGTATTCAGCCTGGAGCTCGGTGACCAGTGGTGTTCCGCAGGTATCTGTACTGGGACCTCTGCTCTTTGTGATCTTTATAAATTACTTGGATGAGGAAGTGGAAGGATGGGTTAGTAAGTTTGCCGATGACATGAAGGTTGGTGGAGTTGTGGACAACGTGGAGGGCTGTTGTCGGTTGCAACGGGACATCGACAGGATGCAGAGCTGGGCAAAGAAGTGACAGATGGAATTCAACCCAGAAAAGTATGAAGTGATTCATTTTGGAAGGTTGAATTTGAATGTAGAATGCAGGGTTAATGGCAGGATTCTCGGCAGTGTGGAGGAACAGAGAGATCTTGGCGTACACGTCCATAGATCCCTCAAAGTTGCTACACAAGTTGATAGGTTTGTAAAGAAGGCGTATGCTGTGTTGGCTTTCACTGGCAGGGGAATCGAGTTTAAGAGCCGTGAGGTTATGCTGCAGCTCTATAAAACTCTGATTAGACCACACTTGGAATATTGTGTTCAATTCTGGTCACCTCATTATAGGAAAGATATGGAAGCTTTCGAGAGGGTGCAGAGGAGATTTACCAGGATGCTGCCTGGACTGGAGGGCAAGTCTTATGAGGAAAGGTTGAGGGAGTTAGGGCTTTTTTCATTGGAGCGAAGAAGGATGAGAGGTGACTTGATAGAGGCGTACAAGATGATGAGAGGCATAGATAGACTGGATAATCAGAGACTTTTTCCCTGGGCGGAAATGACTATTACGAGGGGGCATATATTTAAGGTGATTGGAGGAAGGTATAGGGGAGATGTCAGAGGTAGGTTCTTCACACAGAGTGGTGGGCATGTGGAATGCGCTGCCAGCAGTGGTAGTGAAGTCAGATACTTTAGAGACTTTTAAGTGACTCTTGGATAGACACATGGAGGATAGAAACATGTAGGGTATGCAGGATAGATTGATCTTAATAAGATAATAGGTAGGCACAACATCGTGGGCCATAGGGCCTGTACTTTGCTGTACTGTTCTATGTTCTATGTTCAAATGTCCATTATCATGGTCAAAGTGATTCAGATAAAGTGTTCTGGGAAGGATGGGACGTGTTCTGGGAAGGATGGGACATGTTTGGAAGACAACATCCCACGGAGAGGAAAAATGGGTTGGAAATGGTCTGTTAGTTTGTAGAATAGAAGAATAAAGGATTGGTTTATTTTTAGAAGGATGACGATAACAGATGTAAGGGAGAGACAACCCAAGTAGAGACAATTATTCAGAAATGGGCAGCTAACAGGAGTTAAGAAGGAATAAAATCAGAAATTGCTGGAAAAGCTCAGCAGCTTTCTCTCTACAGACGCTGCCAGATCTGCTGAGCTTTTTCAACAGTTTCCGACTTCCAGCATCCACAGTTATTAGCTAGGAAGGAAGTTTTGTGCAATCTCGTCATTGTTTTCTTTCTTCTTAGATTTTTTTATGATTGACAGGACCACAAAAGCAAGGATTGATGATCAACAATGTGAGAACCCTAAAATTGATGCCTAAAGTGATATTCCAAATTAATCTTTGCAGTAATTGAAAATGCTTTATCAAAAACCTTCAATTACATTTTGATATTTTCCACAAAAAGAAATTGTCCTGGCTTATGCATTCAGTAAGTAATAAAGCAACAACAATCAGAGTTTGTTCCCGTCCTTGCCAAGTTGGCTTTCCTTGTTTCTTTGTGCATGGGCTATAATAAAGAAAAGATACTCATGGTTTCTGCTTCTGATTTCTAAATGGTGAATTGGTGAAAAAAAATCTCATAGCCTGATCGGTCTCTCTGTAGGGCTGTATTTGCCTCTCATCATGTTATATAAGGTATTTATAATTGGTAAACTGTTTGATGCCTGTGGTGGTGCTAGGGTAACATCACACATAGATTGACCCAAGGCTCATGGCAATCTAAATGTTAAAATGAAAAATGATTTAAAATATACTATTTTTTATCTTACACTGTCCATTCATGACCTTTAGCTTACTAACTGCTATCTAGCACCCACTTCAATGGGCATGCTTTACATATCATACCATATACGCTAGAAATGATAGGAAGTGGTATGTTGGACTATATTAAGTAACATTCTTGCTTGCTTAAGGTGGATGCAAGAAAAAGTCTCAAGATATAAACCTGGCACATTTTGGTGAGATGAAAGGTAATACCGGTGAGGAAAATGCAGGCTGAAGACTTTGCAATTTTTGGTGGAAGTCTTAGTGGAGATTATTCTGCATAATGAGCTTCTTCTGTCTTAGGGCTGTAAACAGTGCTTTTGGATTAATTGTACTCTTCCATCCTTTTTAAATGGACCAACATATGCCCTGCATAAGCAAGGACTAGCACAAGAATGAGAGAAATTACTAGGCCCATCAAGACAGCTGGTGTAAAAAATGAGGCACAGTCTCTTGCTGAAGCAAACTGTCCTGCTTTAATATTAAAGCCTTGAATCTGCAGAGATACCAAAGAGGGAAAAATATTATCTTTCTAAGCTAATACACTCACCATAAAAGTTGCAGTTGTTCACTAGTTCGCTGAACTGGTTGTTCTGTGGTGTGCAGACGTTCTGTTACCCTTCTAGGCAACATCGTCAGTGCAACCTCTAATCGAAGCATTGGTGTTCTGCTTCGTTCTGGATTTATATGATCCTCTGGTGTGATGGTCTTGTCGCTTCCAGTTCTGTTGTTTTAGCACCAGTCTGTATATGAGGTCTATTTCTATGTGTTTGTTAATGGAGTCCCGTGTTGAGAACCAGACCTGTATACAGACCGGTGCTAAAACAACAGAACTGGAAGAGACAAGACCATCACACCAGACAATCAGATAAATCCGGAAGGAGGTAGAACACCAACACTTTGATTACAGGTTGCACTGATGATGTTGCCTAGAAGGGCAACGAAATGCCTGCACACCAGAGAACAACCGGCTTGGTGAGCAAACGAACAACTGCATCCATAAACCAAACTACAAATTTTCGCTAAGACCTTACCATAAAACCTTGATCAGTTTTAAGTTACAATAATCATTATTGATAATTATAGTTGATTAAATATAACTATAAAGTTAAAACTATATGCGCAGCTTCTCAACATGGTGTTTAGCATAATACTACAATACCAATTATAGGAAGCCCAAATTCATCTATGTTTGAGTGGTGCAGATATACCAGATACCTCTACAAACATGTATGTTCCTTGAGCACGAAGGTAAAACTGCTGAAAACGAACTGGATTTGAAACAAGTGCCTTTATTATTTACATGCAAGCTTGTTCACTACTTTGGGAACATACGTCTTTCCATATAATTCAAGAACATCCCACTGGGTTGGGTAAAATAACAGCACTGAAACTATTATAAAGGTGGGGATTTCAAGAGTGAACTATACGGTAAATGGAAAAGCCCTGCAGAAAATTGATGCACAGAGAGATCTGGGTGTTCAGGTCCATTGTACCCTGAAGGTGGCAACGCAGGTGCATGCTTTCATTCATCAGACGGGGTATTGAGTACAAGAGTTGGTAGGTCATGTTACAGTTGTATAGGACTTTGGTTCGACCACATTTGGAATACTGCGCACAGTTCTGGTTGCCACATTACCAAAAGGATGTGGCTGCTTTGGAGAAGGTGCAGAGGAGGTTCACCAGGATGTTGCCTGGTATGGAGGGCGCTAGCTTTGAAGAGAGGTTGAGTAGATTAGGATTATTTACATTAGAAAGACGGAGGTTGAGGGGGGACCTGATTGAGGCCTACAAAATCATGAGAGGTATAGACAGGGTGAATAGCAAGGAGCTTTTTCCCAGAGTGGGGGACTCAATTACTAGGGGTCACAATTTCAAGGTGAGAGGGGAAAAGTTTAAGGGAGATATGCGTGGAAAGTTCTTTATGCAGAGAGTGGTGGATGCCTGGAATGCGTTGCCAGCGGAGGTGGTAGAGGCGGGCACAATCGCTTCATTTAAGATGTATCTAGACAGATACATGAATGGGCAGGGAGCAGAGGGATACAGATCCTTGGAAATAGGCGACAGGTTTAGATAGAGGATCTGGATCAGCGCAGGCTTGGAGGGCCGAAGGGCCTGTTCCTGTGCTGTAATTTTCTTTGTTCTTTGTTCTTTGCTGAACAAACTTTGCTGACCAAGTAGGATACTAACTCAAATGGATAGGAAAATAACAGAATTTTGTTATGTTTTAAAACTGATTAAGAATTAATGTCATTTTTGAGCTCTTATATAGATATTTTCATTAGTTCTGCATTATTGACGAGAATATCAAATCTTATGTGCCCCATAATCAGAAAGCAGCCTTTCCTATCCAATATCTAAGTAATGACTCTGTGATAATATTCTTATATTTAAAGGCTGACAAAGTATTTTTATGCATTGCAATCAGCTACCCTGTGCCTGCCCCCTGCGCTGCGGATCACCTGCCACTATCGGCAGCTGTTCTGTCAGGCATCTCAGTACCACCACCTCTCCATTTTCTTCTCCTCTAGGCCCATATTCTGGACATATTACCTAATATCTCCTTCTTTGTTCAGCATCCATTTTTATGCCTTTGTGAAGACCTTGGGATATTTATGATCATATGTAAATATAAGTTGTTGAATATTCACTCTTTGGATGAAGATCAAGGCTCTAAACTAAACCGTTTACTTCATTATACAAGCAACAACAGTGTGAGGTATCAAACACTGCAGATATTCCATCTTCAATACATTTAAAATAATCAAGTTGCCACACACTGTTTCTGTGTATGGACTATAAGGCAGAAAGTCACTTCATACTTGTGAAAAAATTTGCACTTCTGAACTGATCCAGTCCTCCAGTATACAAAATAAGAATTCATATAGAACCTCTAATTTAATGAAAAAAAATCCCCAGTCCTCAACTGAAGCAAGATCAATTTACAAGCCTTTTCTGGCTGGAATGGTAAAGATGGATTGTTGAAAAAAGTGCTTGAAACCCAATATAATCCTGACCACAAGCCACTTGTCAGAACTAAGACCAATCAATATCACTGTAGCCTACTTAAACGTCTAGACAAAGTTATCAGAACAAACCAACTACTCCACAATGGTCTCTCACAAGTTCTTTTGGGACTATCACTGTAGGAAGTAGAGATCCCATCCAAAGTGGGATGCAGCCCAAGTGAATATATAGCAGCACCAATTCAGGGAATTTGGAAACAGGGTGGGAATAGAACCGGTAATTTTTTTTCTTTCTCCATTTTAAAAGTTTATAATTCAGTGGTGTAGTGAAAGGGTTAATAAGGTACCTGATTCAGCTGACTGGGGTACAGTTGTCAATTACCTGAAACTTGAATAGGTGTTAATTACTATTGAAGCTTAACTAGTGAGAGTCATTTCAGCTAACCTCAGCTGTACTTAAGAGATATAACAAGGTGTAGAGCTGGATGAACACAGCAGGCCAAGCAGCATCAGAGGAGCAGGAAAGCTGATGCTTTGGGCCTAGATCCTTCTTCAGTTCCTGCTAAAAGTGCACAATCAGTAAACTTTGCATAGTCAGAAAGGAGAGAACACATCCGGAGTAAGACAGCCTGAGAGAGTACACAGTTTGGGGATTTGGTGACGAGGTGCATTTTGCTTTTTTCTGACTCATAGTTTGTAAAGTTTTTTTTTTGCATAGGATAAATTGAAACCCAGGATAGGGGTTCAGCACAAGAGTGACAGGTAAACTGTAAGTTCATTGGTTGGTGATAGCTACTAATTTGACTATTATAGATTACTTTCAGATTTAGGATAAATAGGGGAAATATTTACAGGCTGCAAACTAAAAGACCAGTACAATTTAAAAAAAAATTAACAGTAGAGTAAAGTAAAAATGCCGGCCCATGTAGTGTGTAACTGTATAATGTGAGATATGGTTGACCCCATTGTGGTTCATAGTGACCACATCTGAAGCAGGTTTTGGTTGCTTGAGGAAATCTAGCTCAGCATTGATGAGCTGGAATCTGAGTTTCAAGCACTGTGACACACCAGTGAGGAAGTGTCACATCCCTTAAATTAACTACTTCGGATTTGGTCAGTGGTCAGGCAAAGAAAGGTGTGACTACAGGTGAGGCAGATAGAGGGTTCCAGGAAGATTGAAACTTGCAGAAAATCAAGAGGCTAGGATATGGTGGACATGGAGAAGATGTTTCCACTAGTAGGAGAAACTAGGACCTGAGGGTACAGCCTCAAAATGAAGGGACGACCCTTTAGAACTGTGGTGAGAAGCAATTTCTTCAGCAAAAGGTAGTTAATCTGTGGAACCTATTGCTGCAGAGGGCTGTGGACGCCAAGTCATTGAATGTATTAAGACAGAAATAGATGGGTTCTTAACTGGTAAGGAGATCAAGGTTTACAGGGAGAAGGCAGGGGAATTGAGTTGAGAAAAGTATCAGCCATGATCGAATGGAAGAGGAGACTCGATGAGCCGAATGGCCTAATTCTCCTCCTATGTATTATGTCTTTAGACACTTTTGAAAAATTCATCCTAATACCAAGACTAAAATTTGCTCTCAATAATATGAGAAAACAATCTTTGACAAAACTAAGAAATTAATTGAATGAGATGTCTCCAGCCATTTGAACAATTAATAATTCTTTGAGAAATAAACTGTTCTAACTCTTGACACGCTGTCTCCAGCCATAAAAACTCATTCAAAAACTTCAGCCCTCTGTGATTTTTCATTAGTTTTATTCTTTTATCTATTTTTGTGAGGAGCTGTGAATTGGAAATTGTTTGCTAAAGATGTCTTTTGGATTGTGAGAAACAGCTAGTGTTAAAAGGAAAACAGTTCAAACAAGCTTTTGTTTATTTGTGAGGCCACACTTGAAAGTTAATTTTTTGTTTAATTGCAAGCTGGTTCTTGATCAAGATTTTCTGCAGATGGTTCATCACTGGGAAGAGCATTATGTTTAAACAGGTGGTAGTAGATTTTGGTTATTAATGAGGTCAGTACCTGGGAAATGGTTCCAATAAGTGGCAGCAGGATGGCTCAGTGGTTAGCACTGCTGCTTCACTGCTAGGGACCCAGGTTCAATTCCACCCTTGGGTGACTGTCTGTGTGGAGTTTTTACATTCTCCCTGTGTCTGTGTGGGTTTCCTCCAGGTGCTCCGGTTTCCACCCCTCCCCCCCGCAGTCCAAAAATGTGCAGATTAGGTGCATTGGCCATGCTAAGTTTTAGCCTGTAGTGTCCAGGGATGTGTAGAATAGGTGGATTAGTGTTGAGAATTACAGGGATAGGGTAGGAGGAGTTGGGACTGGGCACGATGCTCTTTGAAGGGTCGGGGTGGACTTGGTGTGCTGAATTGTGTGTTTTCACACTATAAGGATTCTATGATTAAATCTTGAGCTGCTCCTACCTGTAACATTTAATGCTCAGTTGTATGGAGAAAAAGGATGGGAATAAAACTCCGCCTTGATGAGAATTGAAAACGCACACCAGTGTGTGTCTTGAATCTGTTGCCCATTAAACAACCTATACAATTTTGTTACCCATTGCAATCAAATGAAAGGGGAAATGAACGAGGTCTATAACGGGTTGTCTGTGTGTGATCTTGCCATTTCCCCCAATATTATTCATTCCCCAGTCATTCTTTGGTATGCTAAAGTGGTAGCTATCCTCCCAGATGGAGAAAGTAATGGTTATTAAAATCCGGCAGAACTTCCATTATGGATGATATGTTGATTCTCGTGAGTTAAAGGATACAGAATGCTCAGCTTACCAATTTATCTACAGAGACTAAATGAAAATGTGATTTGTCTTACTACACAGTTGGCAGCAAGAATCATCCAATTAGAGAAAATAGCAATTGGTTTCAAAAGATCCTATAACCACAGCACTTCACATAAATAAAACATCCCAAGGCATTTCACAAGTAGTGGGCAACTGTATGTGTGGAGTTTACACACTCTCCCTATGTCTACGTGGGGTTCCTCTAGGTGCTCCAGTTTCGGCCCACAGTTCAAAGATGTGCAGGTTCGGCGAATTGGCCATACTAAATTGCCCATAGTGTCCAAGGAAGTATAGGTTAGGTGGATTAGCCATACGATAGGGGCAGGTCTGGGTGAGATAATCTTTGGAGGATTGGTGTGGACTCAATGGGACGAATGGCCCACTTCCATATTGTAGGGATTTAATGATTCTAAGTCTGGAAAAGACTTTATGTTCCAGCAGATGGCAGATGTTGAATGGTAACTGGGACCTGGTGGAGGAGATGGTCAGTCTGTCAGGAGTGGTCAGAGTTTGAATTGGGTTTTGGACTGTGTTTTCTGTGAAAAAAATGAATCAGGTTGCTGATGCTACAGCATGAAGATCTGAAAGTTCCCTACTGAATCTCCCATAAGCAGTTCTTCGACGCTCAAAAAAAGAAAATGAAGTGAGAACTATTACTGCCTTTCTCTGAGTGAACTCTAAAGGTGACCACGATCAATCTCTTGAGAAAATCAACCAAGAAACTATCAGCAATGCTTGTGGAACAATGCATTATGAAAACCATTTAAGTAATCTGGCCAGTTTCATTATTCTCTTTTATTCATCCTTAGTTGTGCTCGTTTGTCATCCTTTATGTGAATAGACTGGAAACTATGTTTTTTTGGGTTTATAGTATAGGTCTATAAGATTACTTTGTTGTTTAATTTTGCTCTACTGAGGTTATGGTATTGGTGATAAATTGCTAAATTGCTAAGTCTTTTCTTTAAGCTACAAACCAGTGTCAAGAATTGATCATTAGCAAAGTCTGTGATTGGTTAGTCAGAAAAGTCTGGATGGAAATTTTGGGGTCAATTTTGAGGGTCTTTGAAGGTTTTAACATTACTTTTTTTTTCCACATATACCCAGAAGTGCCATCACACACAACTGAGCACCTTTGCCACCACAAAAATCACTGCGACATTTTTTTGTTTCTTTGTTTCCTCTTTAAACACTAACCATCAGCAGTAAGGTTTTAATGTTACTATGTTACAAATACAGAGGTAAAAAACGGATTTGGTTCAGCTGTCTGTCTCTGTGTTGCAACACTATATTAAGTCCAACTTTGGCCAATGGTGAAGAAAGTGCTACAACTGATCAAAATATAACATGCATTTCTATTGAAAGTCTTAAATTCGGAGATTTCCCCCATTGGAATAATCACAAATACTTTAAATATATTTCACTTTATTGAAATGAACTATACCTGAAACTCCACAAAGGTAATGTGCCACAATCTTGTCATGTCTTCTTGAGATCTGGATGCAAGTAGCGCTTCATGTTTGTGCAGACTACTGATATATTGACAGTGATATGAATTTGTAACTGGAGCATAGATTTCAGATGCATTGAACACTGCTTGTAATGAATTGTTGTGGAAGATCTGCACAAAATCCAGGCTAAACCACTTCTGAACAGAAGTTCTGTGATAATTATTTGACAGTTCAAACCTATAATTAGACAATAGAAGCACTGAAATTTTTGTCCACAAAACATTTCAAATGTTAAATTTTGCATTTGCATTCGCATTGTGTACCACAGTGTTTGGGCAAATAGGTATGTTTAATCAACCTGTCCAGGGATGTTATGACACACCTCTGAAGCAAGAGTGACTCAAACGCAGACCTCCTAGCTCTGACATAGGAACACTACCCACTGTGCCACCGAACCCCAAGGGTTGAACAGATGTATATTCTATAATCAAACTGTCGGAGATGTTATTTCACATAGCTGAAGCAGGTGGAATTTGAACACAGGCCTCCTGTCTCAGACATAGAGACACTATGACTGTGCTACAAGAGCTCCTACTGATAGGGAAATAAGTTATGTTGATTTATGAACAACACCTGTCTTGCTTTGGTACAAGTTGTCATATCATCGTTAGATAACTAATATTTTGCAATGATAATACTAAATACCTGTATAAGGCAGTAAATTAAGGAATTCAGTTGACATTGATAGATAACTGTCCCTAATAATAGCTGTGGAATTGCCAGATATACCATTGACCTAATTGGGTATCTTACTCTGTTTTGTTTGGTGTCTGTTGTGTAGATTGTGCAGGTACATGATATGAAAGGATATTTATATGGAAAGATTAAAATTATATTGTGGCATCCCTCACCCCTGTAACAGTGTTTCAACAAATGCTACAACTGGGAGCCTTATAGATTAGGAATACATTTGGCTTGATCCTTGGATTGTGCTGAATTTGGTGATCCTAGGGTCCTGATGGAAATTCTGCAACTGAGCTCAACACTCCTGACTTATGAAAATGAAAAGCGTCTATATCCCTTTCAAGCAACTTTAACTGCACTGCATCACCAGAGGATAAGATTGAGCTGAGCAATGTTTATTATATACATGAGTTACTGCCACCATTCATCATCAGGTATACTTGTATATGATGACTACTTGTCTAAAGTATTTACAGGATGATTAACATTGTGGACCTCAACAAAGTATTATCGTGTTTAGAAGAAGGAAGAGGAGAACATTGTTGTGAATGAAAGTGGTTATGATGTCATTATTACAAATATGCCAAGAACCAACTGGAACTTTAAATCTTAAGAATATGTTATGGAGCCTTAGCGCCTCATTAATGGGATTGAATATTCAGGGTATTTTGTCATTTGGCTTCAGGTATTCTAATGTGTAAGTGATTTTAAAGCTGAAATCTACTTCGAACATTCTGTGTATTCCAACCTTGACAGTCTGCCATTGTACATAACGATCCATGAACAAATAAACACACAAGAAAACACTGGAAGTATTTTCCCCTGTCTTCTGTCAGTAATACACCTAGAGCCAAGAATCAGATGTGTCTGCTACCCTGCATTCAAACTAAAAGGCTGAGTAACATTATTAATAAACACCGATGTGACTCATGAAATGTCCATGCTGGTTTTCTTCATTGAAACATCAAAAATTATCTCTCCAAAAATTGAGAATAGTCTGTAGTTAAAAGAAATTGAAAACATTTCCCATTTACTCTTCAAGCTCTTTCATCTTGCTTAACTTGTTCTGATCAGTTAACCAGCCTACCATCCTAGCCACGAAGCTTTAATTAAGATATTCTTGAGATGTAATCAGGATTACGAGTAATTTAAAGAACATTATTATAATCTGTTCCTCTAAACTGATTGTTTATTCTTTGGGTTTGACACAAATGCATCTTTCCCTTACTTCCTAAAATATATTTGTGCCTGTAATGTATCTTTATATGTCAACAAGTTTCTAATCCCAATCTGTCATTTGAAACAAGTGAAAATGCTAGAGTGCAATATACTAGATCATGTAATAGACTATAAATCAGCACAATCTTGCTTGAGCTCAGGTGCAATGTTAAGTGTACAGTACTAAGCACCTAAGTAATAATCCTTACCTAAGTAATAATCCTTACCGAATGACAAGTTGCTTTAGATTTCCGACATCACCATAGTTCAAGGAAAGCCTGAAGGTAACAAAGTAAAGTTGTAAGCAGAAAGAACTGGTCCTGTATTTCATATTATATACATATTAAAAAAAAGCATTAAGATTTATATTTAGAAAAGGTAAATTATTGCGTTAATGATTATACAGGTTGTAAATAATTCTTAAGATGCATTTAAATGCATTTCAAAGTAAGGAATGAGACCCATGGACAATGCAACACTAATTTTAGGTATCTCTTTTCTGTCTCCTCCAAACATTTTCCACATCCCTTGCACTCTATACTCTGTACTACTCCATAGAATGGATCAGTTTCTAATGATGTATCTTCTCATAACATCACATTGTTTTGACCATCTCTTATAATGTTCTCAATTTTTCAAAACAGCAATTCTGACTAAAGTCATTCAATTTCTTTCATAAATCACTCACAGTATACTATTACCAACTTCATCATATTTCTATTTACTTGTGTCACATCCATGGAACTTTTCCTTGTTTTTCTGACTGCTTATCAGCAACCTCTAGCTTCTGAAATAGAAGACTGCATGCTGCTCCAAATGTCTTGCAATATTGAAACCAATACTTAACTCAGATTTGTGTATTCTTTTCCCATTTCAAATCAAAATAAATGTCTTTCTCAATTTTAACGTAACATATTGCAAAAGCAAATCAAAGGTACTCAGCACAAATTCAAATACCGAAGACCAAGACCATGACATAAAAATATGCAATTCGATCTGCTAAAATGTGAGGTCTATTTACACCAGAATTAATCTATGCATTACAGAATATACATGCCATTGGAATCAACAGCTACTTAATGTGAGGCCATCTGAAATTTAAATACAGATACCAACTTAGGATCAAAGGACACAATTGAACATTAAAGACAAAGAAACAAACAACACAGATTTGTTTAGAATTACTTTTCCAGTTCTCTCATCTACCTCTCTGAATCATATCCAAGATCTCACTGCCTGTAATTAAAATTTGATCCTAAACTATAGTCTGCTTTGTGTTCTGGATTTGTTTCTTAAAACTCTAAACTCATTTCAGTCAACTAAATTAAGATATTTCTACTTCCATTACCTGTATGATTCTCAGATATTGTACTTCCCTCATAATAATAAATGAGTCAAATACCAGTATGTTCAATTGTTTCTAACTGATTTGTAACATTTTTTTTAGAAAAACAATCTAATTCTAATGTAAGATGTCTAAATGAAAAATGCAATGTACCTAGGACTTACGTAGCTTTATCTGCAGTACATGTTGAATCCCTGGTATTAATTTTAGCAGTGCTCCCAAAAGTTCTGTTTGTCAAATCTATCTCAGGCTGGTCTCCAATTCGGAGTGTTACCTTCTTAGCTATGAAGAGAATGCAGGGGATTTCACCATCTGTGACATTTATGGGAGGATACTGGTTCCAGGTTGGGACTTGTAGAAGCTGTCTACCTGTATTCATTACATCATTGAAAGCAAGTCTAATGACCTATGAGAAAAGATATCAGAATTTAATTCCTATTGATGAATGTTGAGATAACTATTCAGTGAAACTTATTTATTGTTTCAATATTAGAACTCAAAGACAAAAGAATGTCCTGCTGCTGCAATGAAACAGCATAAGTATACCATGTATGGTTGAATACTGAAAGAAGAAAAATGTTTGAGAAATATTATCTTATTTGACAACTTTAGTCTCTTTCTCCATATTATTTGAAGTCTGCTAGAATAGATATTAAATTCACAACTTATTTTTCAAAAGGTAACTGATGCACCAGTAATGACAGACATTGTATATAATTACATAGAAATTACAACAGATCTTAATGAGCCTGTAATTATCCTCTATATGAGCATGTTTCAATCCACTCTTCCTTTCCTAAATCATGGTAACCTTTCTTTCTCCAAATTATCTCCCTTGTTCTTAAATATTAACAGCTTCTGATCAAATCATGAATTGTGGTAGTGAAATCCACAGCCTCTCAACTCATTGCATTAAGTCGTTTTCCTGCTGTCTGTAATAAATATCTACATATAATCTTACAGCTGTGTCCTTTCATTCTAGATCCATTCCACCAGTGGGAGCTATGTTGGGTAGCATTGAACTTCAATGGAAAAGGTGGAAGTTGCATGACATTAGGTCGATTGCTCCTGTGGAGGATAATATAACTCAGAAGTTTTAGTCTGAATGGTCTGTTTTGTTTCAAACAGAAACTATCCCAGAACGAAACACCAGAAACCATCTCCAATCACTCTGTTCTTAACTCATATTCCTTGTTATCAACCTTTAAATCCATTTTAAAAATAATTGTTCCTAATTTCCTCCAATTTTGTATACCTTAATCTTCAATAATATTCACATGCGCTACTTTATCAAAGGGTTTCTAAAAGTCTAAAAGTGTACCTCTTACGATGGCTTCATATTAATAATTTTTGTGGACTTGAGTTTGAAAGATTGTGGATACCTAGATTTTTGTTTCGAAAGAAGTCAATAAAAGAACATTGGAACTATTTCTTAACAAGGCATTTCTTGGTAGTCATATTGTCACATCTCACTAGGTACTGTGTTGAAAATTGATTTGTGGAATCATGACAAAGATCAAAATTCCCCAATTTCCCTGTCTTTTAAGCCCTAGATTAAAACAGAGCACGGACCCAGGTTCTATACTTAACAGAAATTATTATTTATTACAGATAAATAAATTCTAGGTACAGTAAACAACTAGGAAATACTGACATATAACTCTCTTGATCAAGCTAACTGCCTTTACAAAAATCCACGCACACACATACAAAAGACCAAAAAGTGACGTTATGGGTTGGGGGAGAAATTGGGATGGCAGGTCAATGGTTCTTGTTCACGGGGTTCATTGGGATGATCTACTTGGCTTATCAGGAATTGCTGTTCATCAATCTCCAGGTGTTGTTCACTTTCATAAAGGAGGCACAGAGGTATCTGAAGGTCATCGCACCTCAAGTAAGGGAAAGACAGTCCCTCATGGTAACCTCAGCCAGTGTTGGAAGTGAACCCATGCTGTTACCTTAACCCTGCATTAAAAAAAACGGGCATCCAGCCAACTAAGCTTACTAACCCCTCATACCATAAGCAATGCTAAAACATACATTCTATTCTAACATGAATAGAAAGGTCAGCTATTCATAAAATTAATGGATAAATTAACTAAACCTTTTTCTGCAAAGGTATATTTAAAGCAGTAAAGCAGAAGAATTCAACAAAACAACTTTTTATATCCATGTCTTTGATGTCACAAATATTTTACCTTTGAGTTTCAGTATTTTTGCACTGAAGTAAATGTTGCAGATGCATTGCATTCAGCAAGGTTCCAACAACGGCATATCTATTAAATGTCTAAATAAATTGCCAGTGATGCTGTTCATTGAAAAAAAAAAATCCATGGGATTTTTCATGTCACTTAAGCAAGCAGATGGGTCTTATGGAAATAATTCAAGTATATGTGATTAAGGATTCCAGTGTATTATGATCACATCAGATTTGAGCACATGGGAAGTTTAACTCTTCAAATTAACTTAGATTTTTACACTATAAGTATTTTTAAAATTCCATATTTTCACAAAACGTTTCCAAATCGCTGCAATATTCAATGTTCCCAAGCTTCTGGGGCACCGGAATTGATTTGCTTGGATTTCTTCCTTTTGTGTAGAACTATCTAATGAACTGTGTCAGCAATTGCTTGGAAAAGATTGGAGGATTCATACTAGCCTGACTCAATACATGGGTTTGCATTTTACAGGTGAACCACGTATGATTCAGTGTGCTGCTGTATCCATTCTCATTTTGCTGAGGCTAAAACTCTTTCTCTTTTTTAGTTCCCTTTTTCTTCTGGTATCTTTTTCACAAGTATGAGCTGCTCAAAATATTGAATGACTAACCTGTTATCAAACTTCAGCCAGTTCCATTCTAAAGACAACCACTAGGAAGTGTGGAGAAAAGATCAGAAAATTTTATTTAATTCCTTTCTCCTAAGGGAGCACCTAGCTGCTCTCATCTCAGCAGTTTATCACAATTGCATAGCTAAATTGTAAATTTAGCAACATTGCGGGTATGAATAAGTACTATAATTATCCATTGGCACTGCAAAATGTTTAGTAACCACATAATTATGAGCAACCAATTGTTCAATAAAAATAAGTTTGCAATGGCTTTAATATCTCATACCTGTGAACTCCTGCCAGCTGTGAAAATAGCTGTGTAGGGAATACTGTTTGCTTTTAAGGCATTGATGACCAATTTAATGACATCTATTTAAAAGTAAAGAAAATACTCTTTAGTAAATTTTGAGTTCTTTTTGCTCTTTCTAACATAATACTGACCACAATATCACAGCAAAGTTTAATTCATAATTAAATCTGCAATTACATCCCACTTTCGCTTGTAATACAACATATATAAAAAAAGACAATTAAGGATTAGCTGGTCTCAACTATTGTATGCTAGCATGATGTAACTTCTGCATTAACTCCTTCCTTGCTGCAAAATGCAAAGGGAACCAAGTGCTTACTACCTGCATTAAAGGTAAAGTCCAACTTAGCCTCAGGGTGCTGTATCATTAGAAAGCAAGATGACTGGTGGTGGTTTAGCCTGAGAGTCAGTGCACCTCAGGTGATGGGAGAGGCTGAGAAAGAGTCCTTTGTCGTAACCTCAACCAGTGCAGGAATTGAACCCATGCTGTTGGCATCACTCTGCATTGCTGACCAGCTATCTAGCCAACTGAGCCAATCAACCTTGTTTAATTAGTTCAACCAGTATTGGTTATCATATAAATCAGTGTTTAAGAATCAAATGATTATAATTTTTATTTGATTTTATTTTATCTAATTCCAAATTATATATGTCAGAAAAGAACACTTAATGAAGTTTGTTGCTGTACTTGCACATATATAAGATGACTCTCTGATAATTCAACAGCTTTATCCAATGAAGAACTCAGTTTTACAAACTGGGAATGCTACAAATTCAAGTGATGACTTTCCACTGTTACCAAGAGATTGGTCCAGCTAGACCTAACGTCATCGCATCAAAGAACAACCACCAACAATGAAAGTGAACCACACTCAGAATTACTTGGATAGATTTTGTCTACTTTTATTGAAACACATCTACCTGAAAGTCTAAGTCCACTAACTCCAGCTGGAAAGATCCCATCGATGTTTGATTTATGTCCCCTGCTAAAAACAGATTCTGTAGATCAGGCATCCATAATAGAAACCACTCAGTTATAATCTGCCAGTTTTAAAAAAGATTATAATCCACCCTTTTCTCTTTAGACATTTCATAAAGTCCACTTTAAATAATTTGTATTAACATTTGATTAAAAGAGGAAGTGTAGCCAAAGTTAATATCTCTTTAGTAAATATTGTGATTTGAAAGACATACATGGCTCTCAAGTTTTAAACTAAAACATTTGGACATTTGAAATCATACACCTTTCCATTTAAATTAGATGTCTCATGTATTGATGAATATTTCATTCGTGATCTAGAACAGAACTAGATAATGCATTTAAAAGTCCAAATGTTTCAGTTTAATTTGGGAAGTTCCTGTAGTTGTGAAGGGCATTGAAGCTTCTTTGGTTGAATATTTTTAATATTTTTAAACTTGTGTTCGATTAGTATATTCTGTAAATCACAAAACTTGAAAGCTACGACTATCTGTTGAATCACAATATTTACTAAAGAGGCATGAACTTTTGGTTAAAAATCATACAATGACATCACAGAGACTGACTGCAATTGCATTGGCAGCAGACACAGCCTTTTAAAATACCAGTTCTATAAACTTTTGTTTTTGATACCATCTGTTGTCTAGGAGCGTAATTCAACTGATTTTAATCAAGACAGAGGCAAAAACTGGAACTGCAACAATTAAACCAGTTTTTAGATTTTTTTTGGATCACTTCAAACTGAAGCGCTAATCCATCCACGAGGTTGCTGTACTCCTCATTAAAACGGAGTTCTTCCATCTAAAATTTTGGAATTCGATAGTCTTCACAACACTGAAAGGAGTGATACAGCCTGAAAGCTTACCATTATCAGTGAGGAATTTGGTGTCTGGTACCATTGCAGGTCTGTGAAAGGAAAGTATAGACTTTACTTGAGTAATAAACCAACAATGTCTCACGAATGTTTACTTAGTATGATAATTAAATATATAAGCTAATTACATGTAAATTGTATTTGTGTCACATGTCTGACAGTAGTGTGCAAACTTGACATGTTCCTAATGATCATGCAGGATTAATTGATCCCAAGAGAATCTTGCAGTTTCTATTCTCTATGAAAGCAAAGCCTACCTTGATTGAAAATATATGAGAGTAGTCCATTGTAGAAGTAGGCCTCAATGTTATCATATCTGGCTAATACTAATTAACATGTTTGGACCTTAAAGTCATTTTATCCTCCATCTGATTTTATGTGTTATTGACAAATCAGGTGGGTTAGGGCAAAATCAGACTCAAATTTTCTGTTTCTGTAAGGAGACCATGTTTTCATTCTTTACATTATAGGTTTCCTTTATATGATTTTTGTTATTATCTGTCAAATATATACAGTATACATTTTAAAATAATTTTTTTCTTCTTCCTTTAAAATATATTTTTCTATCATTCTTCTTAAATTTGGAACATTTGACATTGAATTACCTCCAAAGATAAACCAAGCAGGGATTGGGTGAAAAGCCAAGGGAGTTTAAAAATCTCAAAAGTTAATTATTCCTACAGGAAGTGAAATACTGTGCACTTTTTAAAAAAAAAAATCATTCACCAGAGAACAATGAATTGCCATTTATGTAAAACTTCTAAAGAAATAAACATCCCAAGATGTTTGACGGAAACATTAGAGAGTGCAGTCATGGCTCAGTGGGTTTATTCTGATACCTGAGTCATAAGGCTCCATGTTCAAGTTCCAATCAAGGCTTGACTACAACAATCATGATTCTCCAGTAATAGTACTGAGAGAGTGCTGCAATGTAAAAGGTTTAATGGTAAACCATGTCCCCATGTTTAGATGATAATAAAAGATCTCAAGGCATCTGGAAGAACTGAAATGTTATGCTCAGTTTTTTGGCCACCATATATCTCACAACCCACTGTACAAGAACAGGTGATCCGGTCATTATCACATTGCTGTTTGTGGGAGTATCCCATGTGCTTATTGGCTGCCACATTTCCTAAATTACAATGATGACTACAAGAAGTACGTCTTTGTCTGTAAAGTGCTGTAGTCATAAAAAATGCTATGGGAATGCATCTTTTTCTATGAGCAAACAAATTTGGAGATCAAGAGTTGCTATTGGGACAACTGAACAAATGTTTGGCAAAGGTGGTAGGTTTTATAGCATCGTAAATGAGGACAGAGAGATAATTATTTGGGGCTGTAAGTCACAAGCAACTGAAGGAGCCACTGCCAATCATGGATGAACAAATGTCAGGGTTAGAGATGCACTGTGATCTCGGATGGTTGTAACACTGGAGGAGGTTTTGGCTATAAGGAGGAGCAAAGCTGCAAAGGGATCTAAAATTAAGTTTCAAAACCTTATTAATAATAGACAATTCTACCAACTCAGCAAAGTATTGTTAAACCTTGTGTTGCGAAGATGCTATGTATCTACTATTTATGGAGGGCTTAGGTTTTGAAGGATTATGAATAGAAGAAGTTATTTCAAATTTTCTGGCCATACCTAGACTGATTTCTTTAAACACAGTTCTTGAAAGTTCACTGTTGACTTTGGAGGTTTTTTAATTTAAAGAAGGATTCCTAAAATCACATAACTGGTGATAACCACTTGCTTTGGGTGTAGACCCTGTTGGGCTGATCTCTGAGCAGTGAGTGATCAGGAGAGGTTCTAGTTTCATTCAGTTTGATGTAGGAAAGCCTGAGCTAAGAACAAGCTCAATGGGAAGAAAGCTTGCTATGATCAAGTTACCCAGGTGTTAGCTCCCATTTTTGAACAGGAAATATGAAAACGTCAGTTCAGGGTAAAACCTATTTCTTATTTTGAAAGTGATTGAAAGAACATCGCAAGATATTAATTTCCAGAGCAAGTTATATCTGCAAAACTTCAAAGACAGCCACACATGATTAGTGACTTGACGACATGTATCAGAATCCTATTAAGTGTGTGTGCATGTGCATGTGCATGTGTGTTTTTTGGGAATATTTAGAGAGGTAATCAATCATATGCCAAATTATTTACTGCGCATGTTCACCAGTTATTGCATCTTTATTGAATATGTTTTGTTTAATAGTAAACCCATTATTGTGTTTATTAAGAAACCTGGCTGATAGAGATTTTTGTTTAAAACCTGATATTGTTATTTAGTCAGTCATCTTGGTACCTGAAAGAAATATTTTTATTTCATGTTGTGACCTGTAGAGTAGTGGGACTAGAATAACATGTGCTCCTCCAGCCTAAGTCATAGTACTTGCTATGATAATGCTAACGCTGTTAATATTTGTAGGTTGAATAGACAATGATTTAAGAAATAAAAATAATGTTAGCCTATAATGATGTTAGCTAAATTGATTATTAATTTATTTCAATAGTTTATCAAATGTGTTCATCCTAAAAACCCTGAGGTCCTATGGCTTTTCCAGTCACAGTGAGAAGTGGGAAACATATTCGAAAGTTAGTCCTCTCAAAGTTGTCTAATGCCCTAGCTTAGTAAATATTCTTGGTGTTTTCTTTCCAGTCAATTTTCTCATTAGCTTTCACTCCTGAAGATTTCCTGAAATCAGGATTAAGAACCTTTGTGAAGTCTGCTTGACTAATCTTGAAGAACCAAGGTCAATTCTAGTGCCCTGACCATTGACCCAAGTAAGATAGCTAACTCTACATAAACAGAGATCCAAGATGGTACTTTACCTGTTGTATGGCTTAGCAATCAGGGGAGATGCCAAGAGTTTAAAAGCTTTACTTTCCATTAGCTTCTAGTGTAAGTAGATCACAGTTAGGATATTTAGTTATCTTACTGAAAAATTTATTGCTCCCATAATTTCCTCATTGGGCAAGATCTCAGTTATATTTAGAACATTAGTGAAACTCGCAGATTTTATATTTGATCTGTGCAAAATAAGCAGATCTGTACTGGGGTGATCAAAGGTGTATACAATTGACCTCCACATTCCCAGGTTAAGGGGAGAAATATCATCCTTATTGAAATCCTGCAAACCCTGCTGGATAGTGCATATTTCGGGAAACATTGATGTCTGTGTCGAGCTCAGCCGTGATGGTCTCACAGTTAAAAGTCCTGGTAAGCCTACATTTATTGTCTCAAATCATTAACATAAAGCCCTTGATCAAGGAATGGGAGGGCTGATGCTATTTGCAAAAGTACTCCAGCTTTGGTCCTTGGGGAAAATGAGAAGAAAATTACTGGAACATAAAAATTAGATTTGTGGTTTCCTTTCCGGTAAAACTACACATTTGTCATACTTATTTTGATTTCTTATGTGACTTCATTGAGAAGAAAATTATACATTAGTTTCCTTTTAGTGCAAGTTAAGGTACCCAGTGCAATTGTGGCTATTATATTAAAGATCCTTGGGTAGCATCTTCCAAACCCATGACCATTTCTATCTAGAAGGATAAGGACAGCAGATACGTGATAAAACCACCACCTGCAAGTTTCCCTCCAAGCCATTCACCATCCTGACTTGGAAATATATTGCTGCTCCTTCACTGTTGCTGGTTCAAAATCCTGGAATTCCCTCCCAACTGGCATTGTGGGCTACATACAGCACATGGACTGCAGCGGTTAAAGAAGGCAGTTCACCACTACCTTCTCAAGGGCAACTAGGGAATGGCAATATATGTTAGCCAGTCAGCAACGCCCATGTCTCACAAGAGAATATAAAACAAAAATTCATGTGCAAGTTAATTCTACCTATGGTTTGATGATAACTTCACTATTAATAGAGATGATTTTGTGCTGTTCAGTTCTGGATTCCAAAATGGTAAGTAGTTCACAAGTATTGGGTTTTCTCCAAGTTTCTGTTGAAGATATCTTGGAAGCTGATTTGTCCAATGCTGGTTTATAGCTGGTAAGATAATGGACGACGGAGAGGAATCCAGGGCATTCTACAGACAATCAAAAATATTAAATTGAGCTCACAAGATAACTCCTTTCATTTACATTCAGGAGACAAAAAGTTCATAGGACTGATTTTACAAATGTAGGAGTGGTATAGTGGTGTTGTTACTGGTAATCCAGAGTCTCGACTAAAGCTATGGGGATGTGGGTTCAACTCCCACCACTGCAGATGGTGAAACTGAATCTATTTTTAAAAAAAGACATCGTCATTGCATGCTATTATTGCATGGTAAAACTGACAGCAAATTCTGGACCCTGCACTAATAAGAGGAAATCTATGATCCAGTCTAGTACTTTGCCAGGTGCATGGCTTAGCTATTCAGTGAAATAACTCCACAGAGGCCGCTATCCAATCACTAAGTCACCCTTTATTTACACATGGAATGTCCTTGACACTGGTCCAACTCTCTCAGAGCCAGCTCTCAGAGTTTCAGAGTGTCTGACATTCCTCTTTGCCTGTAAGTCCGGGCTCCCTAATTGAGGCAGTTAATCTGGTCCAATCAGGAAATTTATAATCCATGAGGTACCCTGACTGACATTGTTACAATCACTACATCCTCGCCCTCTGAGTGTGAGGACATAGGCATGTCCTTTTTCTTGTAGTGCCTCCTGGGGCGTTTAGCACAGGGTCAGGTTCCTGTGACTCTGTATCGGATACGGGGTTTTGGGGGGTGCGGGGGAGCATGTGATGCACAGGAACTCTCCTCTTGCACCCAGAAAGTCTCGGGAGAAATTCACGCTCTTCTTCTGGTGGCAAAGGCGCCTATGCGGCGTGATCCACTGTGTTCATCTCCGATTCAGAGGTCTCTTCAACGCTTGATGGCGAGGGAGAACACACAGGTTCTGACAACTTTTCCAAATGTTCTGAGGAGCAAGGCACGTTTTGCTGCCATACCATTTATGAGTTTGTGGCTTTCATATTGTCCACGTGCTTGTTCAGGACCATCGCACCTAACTGAACTTTATACATAAGTGGACATGTCTTTGCGTCAAACAAGATTCTTACCTATGCAGGGCTATTCCCATGGTTCCTCCACCAAACTTTGTTCCCTGTAGTAAACTGTCTCTCTTACTTGGCGGAGTGTGGCGTCCAGCCCTGGTGTTCCTGATGCTGTTTCACCCTCACCCCTGTCCAGGTCTGGGAAGATCAGATTTAACCTGGTGTGAAGTCTTCTCCCCTAACTCTGCTGGAGCTATTCCTGCAGTTGCATGAGGGATGATCCTATAATCCAGTAGGAACTGGGACAGTTTGGTATTTAGCGAAGCTGTAGGCTGTTTCTTCAAGCCCGCCTTCAAAGTTTGACTTCTCTTTCTGCCGGACCATTGGATGATGGATGGTATGGAGCTGTCTTTATATGCTGAATCCATTTGACTTTAGGAAATACCTAAATTCCTTGCTGGTAAACGATGGCCCATTATCTGTGACCAAAACTTTCGGGATTCTTTGTATTGCAAAAGATGCATGCAGTTTTTCTATTGTTGTTCCTGTATTTGATGAATGAACTCTATGCATGTCCAACCACTTTTGAGTGGGCATCAACAATGATGAAGAACATTGAGCTCATGAAAGGACCTGCACAGTTGACATGCAACCAAGTCCAGGGATTACCCTGCTGTGAGGAGCTGGCAGTAATTTCTGTCCATGTCAGCACCCAGAGGATTGCCCCACCAACGCAGCTATATCTGCATCCAATCCTAGCCACCAGACATAACTTATCGCCAACATTCTCATTTTGGAGATGGCTGTATGACCCTGGTACAGTTCAGCAGTCCTGAATGTATAAATTATTGGGTGTTGCTCTCCACTAGACCACCTGTGAGCTAATACTACCCTGATGCTGTATGGGGAGGTACTGCATATCAATACAAGATCTCACCTCAGAGCATGATAACTTTCAGAAAAGTGAAGAAACAGCTATGGCTTGGCTACGCTGACCCTTTTTTAGGAGTTGATACAAAGGTGCCAGGATGGAGGCCAGGTTATGTATGAACTTTCCATAATAATTCACCAGCCCAAGGAAAGACCTAAACTCCGGTACAGACATGGGAGCTGGGGCACCTTTGATCGCCCTCACTTTATCTTCCAATGGGTGTAACCTGGTGTTGTCAACTCTGTAGCCCAAGTATGTCACTTGAGGTGGCTGGAACACACTTTTCCCTTCTTAGGCTATTCCATGGAAGTGGACAGCCTTGCCAGCCTGACTGAGCTAGGGGAACACCACTTGAGTGAAAATAATTATAAAGCCACACTCAGGACATATCCTGACCAGAGGGACTCTCGGGCAGCCTTACGCCTTCTTAGGCATATGCCTGCCTGGGAGGTCCAAGTTCTCTAAGTACTCCTTATTGGTCTTCCCTGTTATTAGCACGTCATCTAGATAAATGGCGACGTGGGGTAGATCTTGCAAAATGTTCTCCATCATCCGCTGAAAATTGCATAGGCTGATGATATCTCAAATGGCAGTTTTGTATATTGGTACAAACCTTATGGGTATTAATAGTGGCATACTTCTGGGAATCCTCCTCTCCCTGCAATTGCAAGTACGCATGGCTCATGTCCAGCTTCGTGAAGGACAACCCCCTGTCAGCTTTGCGTATAAATCCTTTATGTGAGGGATTGGGTATTTATCCAGCTGTGAGAAATGGTTTACTGTTTGTTTAAAATCCCTACAAAGGCAAACTGACCCATCAGGCTTCAAAATCGGTCCGAATGGTTCTGCCCACTCCGCAAACTGGCTTGATGATTCCTTACCTTTCCAGCCTTCTGATTTCTGTCTCTACTTTTGCACGTAAGGCAAATGTCACTGGGCGGGCCTTGTAGAAGCATGGAATTACTTCCTGGTCAACATGCAAGGTTGCCTTGACTCCTTTGATAGTCCTTAGACCTTCCTGAAAGACTTCTGGGTTTTTAATTAGGACTTCACTCAGACAGTCATTTTCTAATCAAAATGTTGAGCCAATCTACGTGAATCTTTCTCAGTCAAATTCACCCCATCAAGTTTGACCTGAGCCTTTTACTACAATCACTGATAACTGAACCAGCGGCTTCTCATAGGAGACTGGAACTGCAGTTATAGCCTTAATCTGTAAAGGTACCCAGGTATAGGTTCTCAGTCTAGCCAAGGTCTTGCACAAACTTAAGGGTTGGAGCCCAGAATGAATTTTGTTAAAGACTGATCCTGTGGTTACTGAAACGGCCACTTCAGTATCGACCTCCATTAGAACCAGATGGCTATTTAACCAGATGTTTATTTTGATGGTTCAGATTTGAATGTTACTAAGGAATTGACTTATTCCAAACCAGGTGTAGATGGACCCTCCTGGATACTGGACTATTAGTTCTCTTATTCAGTTTAGGTTTAGTAGGACTCCTTTGCTGTCTTGGGTCCACATATCGGCAGCAACTACAATGGCTTGCTGGCCCAGATTCTCAAGAAAATTTTAACCATTTGGTTGAGGCTTGGCTTTGTTTTGGGTTTTGCTGCAGGCTGCCCGAGAGTCCCTCTGGTCAGGATATGTCCTGAGTGTGGCTATATAATTACTTTCACTCAAGTGGTGTTCCCCTAGCTCAGTCAGGCTGGCAAGGCTGTTCACTTCCATGGAATAGCCTGCAACTCATGTGCTCCACTTGCCACACTTTCCAATGATAAAGCCAATTGTAGTGCCTGTTTGAAGTCCAGTTGGGCTTCAGCTAGTGGGTACTTTTGCATGGTTACATCAATAATCCCACATTCCAAATGGTCTCTCAGCATCTCATTAAGGGTTAAACCAAAGTCGCATGCCTCTGCCAGTTAACCTAACCTAGTCAAAAAATCTCAATACAGATTCCACTGTTTCTCGAATTGCTGAGTAAAAACTATAACATCTCAGAATTCGAAGAGGCTTAGGATTGTAATGTTCTCTACCTAAACCTAGACTCCTAATAACCAAAAATGCTGTGGGTCGACAAGTTGTCAGGAGACCTACTCATTGCTTTTCACCTGCCCCAAAGTCATTTACCTGGAAAAAATAACACATTTTTCTACATACTGGGCCCGTCTTTGACAGTAGGGTCAAATGAGTCAAGCTTCCCGAAATAACGGTGTAATGTTTACCCCAACTCAAAGGTGACAGTTGTGAGCGAGTTTCTTCAGGCATGTGCTTTAGTCTCATCACCAGTGAAATAATGCCACAGAGGCCAGTATTCCGTCATCAAGTCTCCCTTTATTTACACATGTAAAGTCTTTGACACTGGTCCAGCTCCCTCAGATTGTCAGACTGTCTGATACTCCTCTTTTTATCTGATTGGACCAGATTAACAGCTCCAATCAGGGAAGTCATATTCTATGAGGTCCACCTGGCTGACCTTGTTACAATCACCACATTCAGCAATCAGGGAAGTGATTTCTGTGACACCTTGCTCCTCCACAGGCTACACATTCCAATCGCTTCCAGTGGAATCAATACACAGTTGTTAACTTATGGCAATGGTGTGAACTTATGGCAATTATCCACTATTATCCTATTAAAGACACATGAAAACGTTGTGACTTTTGACAAACTAGGAAAGGTTTTGGATAATGTTTTTAGGTACTTGTACATGAGATGATTTGCAAAACCATCCCTTCAATTCTCATACCAATATCATGACCAAAATCTTTTCATTTAACTTACAACCTAATAAAAATATTATAAACTTAGCAAAAATATATTACATTTATATTATTATTAAAATTATTTTAAAAATTAATCCATAGAATTTAATAGTGTCTAAATGTATTGTTGGTTGGGAAGGATGAGAAAACAAACTCGTTGAAAAAATTCTCTATGATGGCTTCCTCCTAATCCATAGTAGAATAGAATTTGGTATTGTGTCTGCCAAGCAAGTATAGTGTTATACAATGTCCTATTCACAGTTTCTTCTAATTATTTTGTCATTACTATGAAATAATTCTGTATGTTCTATTTTTCTTCATTTGCCTCTTTCTTAGAAGTGAGTTAATGTTTCCGTAGTTTTATAAGCTATCGGTTACGTTCTGAATATTGTTCATAATCTAAACTAACTCTTAAAATTCAATGACTAACTTTTTTGTACAGGAGGTCTTAATTTGCTACTGCTTCCTTAGAATAAGCAAAACTATAATTTTGAAAAATGTGCTTATGAAATTAAGTTCCACCATACCTGAACATTTGAAAATGTGTGGGCCAGCTTGCCGTCAACAGTGATAATATCATGGATGTTCAGCTGAAGTACAATCAAAATGTAAAGAAATGTAAGAACTATAATTTAAATAAATGTAAGTTTCTGTTAAATAAGATGTTGGAATTAGACGAGCACAGATATCTCAATGTTGTGGGAGTGGAAGGGATTACAGAGATGAGAAGCAAGGTCACAGAGGGATTTGAAAATTTTGATAAGAATTTTAACATCAACCTATTGCTTGATTGGGAGCTGACATACATCACAAGGACAGGGTTAAAAGATGAACAGGACAGCAGCAAAATTTAGAATGATGGAAGTTTTACAGAAGATAAAATCTGAGAGGTTTACCAGGAGTCCATTTAACTAGCCACATCTTGAGGTAACAAAGATATGGGTGAGGATTTTCCATCAGATGAACTGATGCAAGTGTTAAATCAGACAACATATATGATTTTAGTGCTAGAGCTACCTGATCAGAAGTACATCATGAGTTGAAATATGACACCAAGATAGTTTGATCTCAGAACGTTGCCATGAAAGGAATAGAGTCAGTAGCAAGAAAACAAAGTTTGTGGTAGGGAATAAAGACTTTGATTTTTCCCAAAATTTTATTGAAGAAAATTTCTGTTTCTGTATTCACGGATGTCAGATAGGCATAATAATATTTTATCAACAGTGGAGGAGTCCAGAGAAATAGTATCATGGTAGAATTGGGGTATCTCGGTGCACATGTGAAATCTAAGACTGTCTTTTGATGATGTTGCTGAGAGGCATTGTGTGGATAAGAAATAGGAGGGCTAAGGATAAATCCTTGGGAAACACTAACAGAGCAGGAGCACGAAGAAAAGCCATTTCAAGTGAAACTGTATGTAATTAGTAAGAGTCGAACTAGGCAACTGCAGTGCCACCCAAGTGGATGACAGTGGAGAGGAGTGGAGGAGAATGGCATGTCAAAGGCTGCAGATGAGCCCAGATGAATAGGGAAGGATAATTTACCTTTGTCACTGTCACATAGGATTTGGTTTGTAACTGGGTAAGTGATGTCTTGGTATTAAGATAAGGACAGAAGCCTGTCAAAGGGATTCAAACAACAAGGCTGAGGAAAACTTGAGCACAAATTTGGAAGGAGTCAACATTTTCAAGGACTTCATTCTTGCAAACTACTGTTCCATATGCAAACTTCCCTTTCCTCCATGGAGAGATCAAGATTCGTTTTTAGGAGAGGGTGATGATTGAGAGAGGAATAATACTTGAAGTATATACTCCATATAAACAATATTGCTGAACATGAGGTGAGAAGTTGAGTGATCAGCAACTTAATGGGAATAGGCGCAAGGGAAGATCAAGAAAGGGTGGGTTTCAGGGATGTTTGAATTCAGACCAGGGATGAGGAAAGATAAAAGTTTCAGACAAGAGCAAGGAAGGTTAGTAAAGTAAATTTGACCAGATCAGCTAGTAGAAGGGATGAATGTGTCAGACGCAGCTGATGGGATTGTATAAACTTAGTGACAAAGATATCCATGAGCTTCTGACACAAGAACAGAACCGGAAAAACTCAACTGAAATTCTGAAGAAGGGTCACTGGACCCGAAATGTCAACTCTGCTTTTTTCTCCACAGATGCTGCCAGACCTGCTGAGTTTTTCCAGCAATTTCTGTTTTGTTTCTGGTTTCCAGCATCCACAGTTCTTTGGTTTTCTTTAGCTCCTGACACTTATTGGACATGATGATAGAGGAGATAATGATATAGTTACATGGTTTTCAGTAGAGAAAAGAAGCCGGGTTATCTTTGCATTCTGGGAGGATTCCGGAATGATCATGAAATAATGAGCAGTTTTTAGCAGTCAAAAGAGGGATTTGATAATAGATTTTCACATTTCAAGATTATACACTAGCATTTTACTTTATTTGCAATTTAGTAAATACTGCAATGATTTTACAGGAACATTATGCTGGTATTAGCTAGAAAAAAGATGGATAAAAATTATTGTGGAATATAATCTTTCCCAGATTCTCGGGCTAACCAAAAAAAAGGTATATTTTTGCCCATCTTACATATTCCTTTTTAAGCTGCAGCATTCTGTTGACTTAAAAAAAAATTTAGAACCAATTAACTCATAGATTTACAGAAGGAATTTTGCCTGAATTACCTTGTCTTGCCAGAAAAGTATTACTTTCTTTGGGCCTCTGTTGACTACAGGACTGAGGTACCTGAACAGGTCCAGGGCTTCTTTGTGTGATCCATTGTGCTGTTGATGTGGAATATTCACTGTCTTCCACAATGCCCTGTATTAAATTGAATGAAGTACTATATTTGTATTGATAGTGAAATAGAAACATCTACCTATTTGATATAACACAGTGTGGAGCTGGAGGAACACAGCAGACGAGGCAGCATCAGAGGAGCAGGAAAGCTGACGTTTCGGGTTGGGATCCTTCTTCAGAAAGGATCTGAAGGAGGGTCCCGACCCGAAACGTCAGCTTTCCGGGCCCTCTGATGCTGCCTGGCCTGCTGTGCTCCTCCCGCTCCTCACGGTGTTATCCCAGACTCCAGCATCGGCAGGTCTATCTCTACATATTTGAAATTTTCATTTATCAATGACTTAACTACTTCTTTGCACTTGTGTTTTTATTATGATTCAATCTTATGATTTAATTCTGACTTTTATTACTGCAATGCCTTAGATAATTGAATATGCTAGTAGTAGGAACCAAACTTGCCAGGCAGGTATAAGAGATAAAGTGTATTGTGGTATTCAACCAGACGGCCTTTGTGGCGCCAGGTGGCAAGTACTGGACTTTAAAAAGTTTTTTTTTAAATTACAGTGTATCTGCGCGCAGAATTGAATTGGGATAAGAGAAATCATATGGTCCGTTCATTCGGGTATTTACTATTTGCAGAATAGGATAACTCAGCAAATTGCTTCAATTTCGGTCAGTACGATTGGATATCCAAAACAAAAACAAAGTGCTGGGGAAACTCACTCAGAGATAGTAGGAACTGCCGATGCTAGAGAATCTGAGATAACAAGGTGTAGAAATTTCTGAAGGGTCCAGACCCGAAACGTCAGCTTTCCTGCTCCTCTGATGTTGCCTGGCCTACTGTGTTCATCCAGCTCTACACCTTGTTATCTCTGCTGGGGAAACTCAGCAGGTCTAGCAGCTTCTGCGGAGAGGCAAAGACATAATTATTTTTTTGGAGTCCAACGATGTTCTTTTTCAAAACAGAGGTTTGACTCTAAACGTTAACTCTCACTATCAATGTGCCAGACCTACTGGGTATCTTCAGCACTTTCTGATTTATGTCAGATCTCCAGCATCCGTAGTATTTTAATTTTATTTAGTGAATATCCAACCAGTAGAATGTCTCATCTCCTTTCAGACTTTAACTGTCGCACAAAAACAGATTTGTTGGATTGTAAATAGCCAGCTCGCCATGGAATCATGCCGGTGAAAATCGGAGGACGAGAAACTCCCAGCACCGCGAAGTCTTGAATCCCAGTTCATGCACTCCCCAATATACGAACTTCGGTCAGTTGTATAGGACTCGTTCCCTTCAAGTTTACCGTGGGTCAAAAAATGTAGTTACATTTTTAGATATTTACGAAAAGATAAGATAAACAACCAAGAAAATATTTCGCAATACCACTGCCTTTGTGAACGGATGTGGGGCATCAAGAATTAAACAGCAAAGAAAGCTAATTATTTTTGAATGGTATCTTCAGGTATTGTTAGTGACAGTGCACAGACTTTATAGGGTGTTTTCGTTGTGAAGCTTTGTAAAAGCTCCGCAAGATATTTACCGAAATATTTATCAGCATCTTGCCAGACCATAGTTGGTAGAAATATGAACAAACGTTGTCCAGTCAGGAACAAAACTTGGTTCTGGCAGACCTTGAGCATTATTCAGCTGAGCGAAATATTTTCCGGAGCGGACAAAGGTATGCAAATAGCATCCCGGTTCGATCATTTCTTAAACCTTATTCCCAGACCATTTTGGCTTCGGACAGTTTTTTTTTATACGTATAAATGACACTATACGCAAACTATTGTTATGTTGCGTAATTTGGTGCTAGGAACGTGAGCACTGCCACTGAACTGAAAAAGGTGTTACAAAAGAGATGTTATGCAAAAATAAAACAGAGAACTGCGGACACTGGAAATCTGTAACAAAACTCAGCAGGTCTGGCAGCATGTGTGGGGAGCAGACAGGGTTAACGTTTCTGAAGAAGGGTTACTGGACTCAAAACATTACCTCTGCTTTCTCTCCACAGGAGCTGCCTGACCTGCCGGGTTTCTCCAGCGATTTCTGTTTTTGTTATAAAAAGAAGCCACACCTCTTTAAAGTGTGGAATTTATACACTGGGGCACAATATATAGTATGTAAATTATATTTTTCTGTGTGGTTGTCTCTCTCACGTATTGGGTATACTATTCCAGCATCGCGGCTATCTGAACCTCATTTGTTTTGGTAAGAAATTATAAAATCGGAGAAGGCAATTCGGAACGTGGAACCGTTAACATTATCCGAGCTCTGATTTATTGTTGGATCTCAGACTGTCTAATACGGATTAACGGAATCACATGCCCACATTGGCCTACATGATCGGTAAAGTGCCATCTGTGCAGTACAGCTAGACATTCAGATTGGATTCACCATTGGGAAATAAGTGCACCGTTTGATTAAAAACACATACATTTTAGTCTTATTCTCCACTCACAAAAACAATTAAATTATCTGTTGAGTTGAAATCTGGCAGAAGGAAAAGCAACCCGCACATTTTAGAACTCTGAAAATAAAAAAATAAAAATGCTAGTGATACCAAGAGGTTCCAATATTTGAAAATGTAAAAAAATCAACATTTAGTGGTAGACCAAGTTACAGGGGCATTGCAATTGTTTTTCGTTTCGTGTAAAAATTGCTTCAAAGGGAATTGAAGAAATACAAAAACAAATTAGTGACTTAAATGGATAATAAGGTTAGGTTTATATAAAATGGCAGATAATAAATCATTTGAAGTTTTAGCTGTTTATGAAATTGCCGTCGTATACGTAATACTCAGTAATAAATTGATAATGTCAGGAGTTAGTTCCGAGTTAAGTTTACAATATTCGCAAAAGGCTGGAATATTGTATTGGGCAATCCAAAGGTACATTATCAACGATGAACAGAAATAGCATGTCCCCTATTTATCCTTCATAACATTATTAAAATTGATGTATACATACAGTACTAAACATTGAAAGTAAATTTTATTTCCACAAGTTAAACAACTTGTAACTTGAAAACTTAAACTTACTTCGCTGACGACCACATGATAACGGGCACGGTATGATCAGCCGTAACGGAAAATCTCATGAGGAGGGAAATTGTTAAGCACTGTATTTTATAGGTTTCCATTGATAAATAACCAGCAGCGCGTGCGACACAACGTTCGGCGATCCAGAGCCAAAGACAAGCTTCAGTCCGCGGCAACAAGGGAGAGCAACCTCCTTCTGATTGACAGCTGTCACTACCACTCAGCGCTTCGGCCCGCGTCAATAAGCCAATTCCGACCAGCAGGAGGTGGGATCTCAGGATTTACACGTTTTAAGCAGAGAAAAAGTATGATTTCGTTAAATATATATTTTCTTTGCAAATGGGGAGATTATTTCCTCTTAGACTTTCTGCAGTTGCATGTAAAGGGTGAATTTATTTGTCGTGCTTTACGGCAGGCGGTGAGAGGGTCGCTGGCTGGGGTCCTGTGTTTGGTAATAGAAGCGGCGCAGGGCGATTTCGGTCTTTTTTGCAGCGAGGCCGAATCCGTCACAATGGGTAAGCGAGTGAATGAGTGAGAGAGAAACCGAACTGACATGACACTTCTCGCACCGAATCCCCTTTTTTAAAATTGCCACACGGATTTTGCACGGTTCACATCCGCCATCGGAGCGCTGGCAGTTTATTTCTTCGTATTTTGTCAGTGGGACAAGCAACCGCATGCGGGCCGCCACGCAATGGCTTCCTGACACAAGGCTGTAGGCCCAGGCTTTGCTCCAGGCTGTCGCCTTGCTTTCAGCATGTTCAAAAATAAAGTTTTTAAAAAGTCCAATGAGAAAAACGCAGTACATGTTTCCCAATTGTAGAAAAAATACTTAATTGGATGAGGTTATTTGTTGGAAAGCATCTGAGGACGTGCTGGATTTTTAAAAAAAGATTTTCGGATTTATTATTATACACCTCTGGAGCAGGTAGGACTTGAATCCAGGCCTCCTGGCTCAGAGATAATGATACTACCACTGCACCACCAGACCTTTTTCAATTCTGTGGATTTAGTTATCACTTCGCTGGTGGCGATTTCCTCCTCACCTTCCCGCCCCCGGCAAAGTCTGCGATACAATGAGCAATCTAGACGTTCAGCCTTCGTGCTAAGCAAGGCCGTCACTAATCGGACAACAGGATTTTGATTGAGTTTCATATTATCGACTTTACCAGATTACAATTTTGTTTTGGAGGGGGACAAAAAATGATAGAAATTATGTAGTCAATGTTACGCTTAATTGTTACAAATTCTCCTTGGAAATATTTGAAAATAAATTCGATAGTGGCATTCTTGGGTATGGAAAAAACACTGAGCACTTTAGTGATCTGTAATTTTGTTTTGCAGTAAACAACTTGTATTGCTAGAAATCACTTCGTTAGAGTTATGGTGGATGATACCTTGAGCATCAGCAAACCATTGGGTTGAGTTTGACTATTGACTTCTTTGGGCAGATTACACTTATTCCTAACAACTTACTCTTATTCCTCACACTACATAAAAATTAGTAACCAGAAATGAATTTTAATATTTGCTCTTAGGTAAATGCCGTGGTCTTCGTACAGCCAGAAAGTTGCGTAATCTTCGGCGTGATCAGAAATGGCATGATAAGCAATACAAGAAAGCACACTTAGGGACTGCCCTGAAGGCCAACCCATTTGGTGGTGCCTCTCATGCCAAAGGAATAGTCTTGGAAAAAGTGTAAGTATTCTAAAATTGAGGATTTTGTTGACTATTACTGGCTGCTCTAAGGTTTTTATCCTTTCTCTAAAGTGTCTTCTGTACTACAGCTGCCTACTCATCATTTTACAAAAAAAAACTTGGAATGTGTAAAAGAATGGTCTTGGCTAATTGGTCATGCATTCTCTGGGAAAGTTGCTAGTTACTGTTTGGTACATAATTCTGATGGTATGGCTAATTATATATAAGCAATTGTGGCCTGGTGCCATGACACTTAGCTAGACTATGGTCTGTACCATAGGTCGAACATAATCTGAACATTCGGATCAATTACACGATATAAGAGATAAGAGACCCATATACAAATTAACACAATAATACTGCATGTTAAATGTAATAATGCCTGTTTACAAAAATGTGTAATACATTGATAATTAATTGATTTGCTCTGACTTAATTGCATGTGTTAGTCACATCTTCTAGGCGAAAGGCATTGAGAATGTGATTTTAATTTTTTTTTGCTACAGTGGTGTTGAGGCTAAGCAGCCAAATTCTGCCATTAGAAAGTGTGTTCGAGTCCAACTTATTAAGAACGGCAAGAAAATCACAGCTTTTGTTCCAAATGATGGCTGCTTGAATTTCATTGAGGTAAGCAATTGTATTTTTAGCATACCTTACTGAATGATTTAAAAACAGAGTGTAAATGATTATCAACTGTCTTTGCCTCACCTTCCCAGTTCCTTGTTAGTCGTCTGCACACTAATGATGATATCATTGCACACAGAACGCTAACATCATTGCATATGCAGATCCTTCCTGCAGCCTGCCCTGTCATGGCAAGGTGACGTCAAGGGCAATGTCGGCACATGCATGGTGGCCATTTTGATATTGCAGATAACCACACTGATTTTTCAGTACCCTTTTGAGTCACTTGTTGAGGTTCTACCAACTTCTACCTTTAAAGATATTCAATGACCCTGCCTTCCAGTGCTATCAGGGGAAGAGAGATTTGTGACTTTGTCCTCACTGTCTTAAATGGAAGACCCTTATTTTTAAATTCTGTGTATCCCAGTTCTAGTCTCCACCATAAAAGGAAACATCCTTTCAGCAACTACCCTGCCAAGTCCTCTTGGGATCTTTGTTTAAGTAATTTCACCTCTCATTCTTCTGAATTTCAATGGATGCAAGTTCAACATGCTCAACCTCTCCTTATAACCATTTAATCCCAGGTAGCAGTTGAGTGAACCTTCTCTGCACTTTTTCTAACACCTTTAGGTAACCTAAACTGTACAAAATATTCTAGATGTGGGCACTCCACTGCCATGTACAACTACAGCAAAACATTTTAACTTTCATATTCCATTCCCCTTGCAATAATGATTTAATAATTCATCTTCTTTCCTCTTTGTATACCACTTTTAAACCTGTTTTCTCCTATAAATGATCTCTTATATTCTATTTCCACATTATGACTTGTTAACAAAACAAGGAGCCTTGTAGCAGCTGAAGTTGGTGGGAATGAGGGAGAGAGCTTGAGCAACTAGAGTTAGATATAACCAGCATGAAGGAAAATGTTTGCTGGAGACCAATCACAGATTATTCAAGAGACAGTAGCCATCCAGCAGCTGTGATGTAATTAAAGAGGATGAGTGCCCAGTCTGATTGAAATGTCCTCGCAGGAAACCAGGAAGGAAAAAGCCACTGAATCTTTGCTTAATTTGTCAAACTTCATGGATGTCAAAATAATGTTTAAATCTCAGTGGGATTAAGGTTGAAACTAAAATATCAAATTTACAAAATTCCACCATTGCAATAATGGAGAAATTTGTCTTCTTGAAAATATTTCAAAATGAAGTTTAGTAGAAATTATGAACTTGGAACAGTTTAAAAATCCACAATATCTGATTTCGACAAAAAGTAGCTTCTCTCACAGCAAGACTAATGCATTAATTTTTGTCATTTTGAATAATTTTTTAATGGCTATAGAGACTGCTACACCCTGTGGAGTAGTGTAGAATCATTGATAACAAAATGTGAAAATTCTGAATTTTCTATAAGTCGACAACAGGAGAAAAGTTTAAGATGTGATGATAGTGGCCATCGTTATTAGCTTACTGTCCAGGCCAATGTATGAGAGTACCTGATCTCTGCATTGCTGTGAAATGACTGCAGCAGAATAAATTGGGAAAACTAGTCAAGTAGATCAGCAGAGACTTATTTTCTACATTACTGTTGTACCCACTTTAGTACATAATAAAGTAGTTGTAGAGTGGATTCTAGAACGAAGAATTTCTGTATAGTTTCTGGGCCATATAGAATTTCCATATCAATCTGGGCCAATCCAAGCATTTTACTTAATTGTATAATAGATTTTGCACTTCATAAGTGTAGAAACCAAAGTACACTCAAAATGCACAAATATGTTTGTGATTGTGGGTAGAATGATAGAGAGCTTGGACCTACTGATTTTTAAATCAAACATTTAAAATTGGCAAAAGCACAAGAACAGTACAAGATACTTCCAAACATTTACTAGCATTTGAGGTTGCAAATTGGAGGTTCAAGTACTGGAGGGTTGTACGCTAGAAGGGTGCATGAGACACAATGTTTAAGGTTCTTATCACTGGTGCATTTATGCAAAACATCCACTTGGTGCCACATTACGTTGTGCTCTTTTTAAATTTTTCAAGTAATAGATGTCTATATGCGCTTTTCATGTTCCTACTCCCTCTCCTACTTCTGATTCATGCACTCTTTCAAAAAGATCAATAGAAAAAGTTTCTGATTGGTACGGTGCATTAATGATTACAAATTCAAAACGTTATATCTTTTTCCTGCACCTTCCCACTTGTCGTGCTCGTACTTCTGAGTTTGATCAGTTGTTTACTGATGATATTGGGTCTGTCTTTAGAATTGAATCATATTCTGACTACTTTTCACGTAGCACTCATCTTGGCAATTTTCTTTGTTCTGCCTTATATGAAATTGCACATGCATTTATTGCATGTCCAACTCATTCCACATGTGCTTCACTTAAAAAGTAAAAGAATGTTTAAACAAAACTGATTTGAAAACCTTTGTTGTCATAGTTGAAATATGGTGATTCCAAAAAAGTTTGGTTCATACTCCGTTAACTGAGCATAATTTATAGCTCTTCCCTAATTGATTTATGGTATTCACCGGGTTTTCTTTGACTCCAATGAAAAACACCAAAGGTGATGCACAAACAATGTTAAGAACTGTAACAACCTTTGGTGGTCTTTCACCTCTTACCAACAATTAAAGACTGGATAGTTCCCAAGTTTGTACATGCTTTGAGCTATTTCATTCATGGTTTAACTTTCTTGTCTTTAGGAAAACGATGAAGTTCTGGTTGCTGGTTTTGGTCGTAAGGGCCATGCTGTTGGTGATATTCCTGGTGTCCGTTTCAAGGTGGTGAAAGTAGCCAATGTATCTCTGCTGGCTCTATACAAAGGCAAGAAG